TACGTTCAAAGTGCTTTACAATCACTTAGCTATTCCTCACAACAGCCCTGTGAGGTAGGTCGACATTATTACCCCCATTTTACAGATGGAGGAAACTGAGGCACAGAGAGGTTAAGTGTCTTGCCCAAAGTCACGCAGCAAGTGAACGCTGGAGCTGGGACTAGAACCCAGGTTCCCTGACTCCCAGTGTCCTTGAAACGAGACCACACTGTTTCCAAAGAGGCATCCCCAGACTGGCTTTGAGCACGAATTAAAGACGGACAATGTTGGATGAGGTTTGGGTGTGGTGGTATTTCCCGTGGACACGTTAAGATGGAACCTGAGGTGTTACCTGGACTGGTTTTGGCATGCGGGTGTATGTGTTAGTTTCAATGGTGTGTCTGAGCTTCCTGGCCTGCCCACTTCCCACTGCATTCTCAACTGGGTCACTGCAGAGAGTGGGGGCCGGAGGGTCAGGAGGTCATGGCGGACTGGCATATAAAAGGAACTCTGTCAGCTCAGTGCCGAGGGGCCTGCCAGTCTTTGGGAGTTCGGGCAAACTAGGGATGCAGGACTTTGGAACGAAGTCAGCTGCCCACCTTAGGCAGGTCTGCTTCATCTTTTTGTTATGGTTTTATTTTTGTTTTGTTTTTTTTTTTTACTGGCCAGCGTCAGGAAGTTGTGTTCATTTCATTTCTCTGTGGGGCGGCTGCCCCCCTCCTTTGCTCTCTCTCTCTCTCTCTCTCTCACTCTCTTTCCCTTTCTCTGAGTCTCTGCTTGGAAGGGAAAAACTGTTAAGCCTTTTGCACGTTCCCTTCCATGAAAAAGAGCCACCGGGAGCAGCGTCCGCGACAGGAGGCCATGGCTCTGCAGGTGAGCCACGACCCTGCTTCCACCTTCTGGAGGAGTGCTTTGCTTGGAAGGGGTCTCCCTGGGGCCTTGGGTTTGCTTTTTCCTGCATTTCTCCTGAAATGCTGTTTCAGTAGAAATAAGCCCACTTGAGACTTTTCCCTTTCAAGGCCTTAGCCACAAACGCCTTCCGACTAACGAGCTTGGTGCTGTAGCTCAGGCAGAAAATTCTAAAGCATCCGTTCAAGCATCTGAAACAAATGAATCAGCCAGTGAAATCTCATCTGTTAGTATCTGTTCTCAGATTAAAAAAGAAAAAAAAAAAAAGCCTTTTTTATGGCTTGAAATGGACTCATGCTTTAAAAAAAGAAAAATACCTTGCTACTTTTTAAACTAATGTAACTAACTAACAGGAGTCTGCTACCCCACAGATTAAACGTCTGCAGAGTGAGCGTGTCTTCCTCTCCTCCTGAGCTGAGCCTCCCCAAGGTGGCCACATAAGGGCACATCAGGGACTGAGAGTTGCTGGATTCTTTATACCACCCACCCTTCCACTCGACCACCCACATCACCATCTGTTGGCTGTGGTGCAGGCTTTCACAGAAAACCTAACCACCTAACTCTTTACCAGCTGGAAACAATGGTTTCCTCCTTAAACCCAACCTCCAAACAGGTGAGAAAGACTATCCCTCTAAAGTCTTCCTGTCATTACAGATAGGCAGGCTCCCATCTGGAATGACTGGGGGATAGTGTCTCCTCAGATTTCACCAGAGTATCTTTGGCATAAAGGGAATCCTTGAGTGTTGAAAGAAAAAGAAATGAACAAAACTTTTCCCACTTTGCGATTTTTTTTTTTCCTTTTCCATGAGGCACTGGACTAATTCATGTCTGCATCTTACATCTGGAAGATCTGATGGGGCACTGCTGTTTGATGGGAAGGGGACTGAGCATTTTCAAGGCTGCAGAGCTGTGTTCCTTTATTGACTTGCTCTTGGGGAAACTCACAGGTCACTCGATGCAGCAGGAATGGAGGGAGAGCAGATGTGGGGTCAAACTGAAGTGGATATATGGCACATGGGAGGGTGGGTGCGAGGAAAACAAAAAGGCAGCCTGATGCAGCTTCTCTCCGACTCTCAGGAGGTCGGAGAGAAGGCTGGCTTTAATGAAGATGGATGGACGGATGGGAACTGCACACTCATTCAGACCACAGAGGCCAGAGGACACTGGGTGCCGAGCTCCTCCCCACACAAGGATCCCCCCTTCGTGTAGAAGGGGACACTGCAGGAGGTCTGAACAGAGGGAGACCAGATGGAGCCCCCAGGGCTGGAAACTCCAGTGCATCTGTGTGCCCTTGAGAACCATTCCAAGGGGAACAGAGAACGTGGACCAGTTCTGATCCCGCTCAGACAGACTGCACTCTCCGCAGCACAAACACGCACATGCCTAGGTCGTACGTCTGCGCTCACACTCCACCTCCCATGAGCAAGCCATCTGTCAGCCACGCGGCACCCTGGCGTGGGGAGAAGCACCTCATCCCACCCAGCCCCCGTGTGGGGGCTTCCTTGCACATCTGTGTCCTTGTCCTAGTGACATTGTGGGTTCCACTGCCATTCAACCCCGTGTCCCTAACTATTATGTCATCATAGAATGTTTCGTCACACAGAAAGGAAGCACCTCCTGTGCTTATTAAATGTATAGCGACAAATCACATTTAAAGCCACTTCTAGAACAGAGGAGGCCAAAAATGTAAATAGAATTACCCTTCGAGGAGACAGACCAGAATTTCCTATTTTTAATGTTTGCTTCGGAATCCAATACACTTTTAGAATTTATCTGTCAAAGTTACGAACAACTTTATCTTCTAGGCTGTGTACTCAACATAAATTATAGTCATAGCCTCAACTCTCAATGGAACCGGGTAAAGATGGACCGGTATCATCACCTAACAGGAAATGTTTGATTTCACCAAGGAAATGAAATTCTTTCTACAAACAACAAAATGAAAAATGTTGAGGAGAAAAACATTATTGTAACGCGATATAACAGTATCTTTTACCTCATGACTTAAAAAGGCAGCTTTAGCACCACTTGAAACTGGAACTTTAAAGACTCAGGGAAGCCCATCCATGAAATATGGTCATTACTTAGTCATGTGTTGGTTTTCAGGTTTTAAAACATCAAAACACTATGTCCAGCCGCTGGAGCAGCAACTGAACCCATCTGATGGGGAAGTCTTGGGGATTCAGGGAAGGGAGAACTCTGCTCATGTGGTCACCATGCATGCCTTCCCCAGAAGACAGAAGGGTCTCATAGCACAGAGCTAACTTGGTTCCTGGGAATTATGACCTAGTCATCCATGAAAGAGTATGCACCCCCCTTGAGAAAAATCATCAAGTCCTACCGACCCCACCACCTAGAATCCGAGAACATCAGGCAGTTCCCTGCAGGGGGAGGGGACCGTGACGCTGGAAATCCAGCCAGTCTAGAACTCCAGGCCCAGGGCCACTTTAGGGAAGCACCTTCAGAAGGGCATTCGTCACACCGTCTCCTTGAACCCAGCTTGGCCACGCTGCCCTCAAGAGCCTATGGACCACGAGCCTGTTCAGATTTACAAACACATCTTTACAGCTTGCTTTTGTCTTTCTAAGGCTACCTGTGCGCAGTAGTCAGGAGGAGGGACGTCCCTTTTACAAACTGGAGGGGACGGAAGGGAAAGTTTTACTCACAAATTCCACAACCTGAGGCAGCAATGGGCTGTTGGACTGAGCCCATGGTTCACTGAGCCACTTTTAGGAGTGATGATCAGAGAAATAAAGATCAGAAATCGTCTTCGGCTAGTTTGAGCATCCTTGCTTCCCCCGGCTCTGTAGCTGTCTGGGCAGAGCAGAGGTGCCCTCGTGAAGGACTTCGACTAACCCACCATCTGCATATGCACCCATATGCCCTCACTCATGGCCATTCACGTTCATGTCCTCTCTCACAGCAAGCTCACAGACAAGCCTTCCCTTCACTGCACCATCTCTTGGAACACAAAACAATGCTGGGCATTTTTCTCCAGAAAAAGGTGAAGGACTATTCCATGCTGAATCCTGCTAATACCCTATATAGCCCAAAGTAAAGCTCGTGACGATAACGGACATAAAAGTCATTTTAGAGTGAACAAATGAAGATGGAAAAAACTCTCTCTTATTCGTGATGGACTTTAGACACTTGGGTAGCAGAGAGGATGGGCTTTGATTAGTTTGGACAGGTGTTCCTGTAGCTTGCCAACCTCTGTAGTTCCCTTTTGCCCATTCTTAACATCTCATTCCCTCTTCACCCTGCTTTCTCTATTGCCAACACTTGCTCACGAACTTCCCTTCCTCGTCCCTCTTCCTGCAAGCTTCACAGGGACCCCCTTCCTCCATACACCTGCTTCCTGTGCCAGAGATCTGGGCTTATCTAGGATTCTACATCTCAAATGCAAATGGGCCTTGGCTGGAACCAGAAGTTCCTGTAAGCCACGTCCACACTCCAGGAGCCTGGGGCAGGCTGCGGGGGGCGCAGGGAAAAGGACCAGAGGCTGGCCTGGGCACAGAGCAGCGTTTGCACAGCAAGCCTCACGGCCACCAGGAAACACACACAGAGACAGACACACTGTGACATGTGCACGCACGCACACACCCATCCGCACACACACGCACACCAGGAGGTGATGGATGTCACTGAAATGGACCGAAAACCAACAAGCAGTGGGGTAAGAAACAAACAGAAACAAAACAAAGCACTCGCGTTCAGATGGAAAGCCGTTTTCTGGGCAGCTAGGGCCCAAGCCCGGGGCTGGGGGGTGGAGGGGGCCCGCCTAAGGACACTGTCTTTGGAGAAGCCGGGAGGAGACAGGGTACAAGACACCACTGGCCCCCCGGGGCCTACCAGGGCTGGGCCTCCACCCCTGTCCTGGGGGCCCTGCCACCCGAAGGCCACAGCCAGTGTGGGCGCAACAGACAAAGCGGGGGAGGGCACTTACCTCATAGCCCAGAAATGGCTAGTCCACATTTTGGGGTGTGTGCGGTACCTCAGTTTAAACAAAATCCTTGTGGCACTGCTCAACCATGAGTAGCCAGCTCTCTAGTATTTCAAATAAGCTTGTAAAATGGTTAGTGAAAAGAGAAGAAAACAAAAGGACAATTCACCTGTAGGGCAATGGTGGTGTTCTTCGCAGGGTACTTTCCCACCAGGCCTTGTTCTTTCCGTTTCTTGAATTTCCTAAAGTAGTCCTGTATCAGGAAAGTGGCATAGAACTTCCCCACGGTTACCTCATCATCTAAACGGAGAGACCAGACACAGCTCTCCCGAATCAGCACATTTGCACCAGGAGCCTCAACTGTCGCTGGGGGCCGGGGTTGGGGGCAGGGCGGGACAGCGCCCAGGGCACTGAGCTCTGGGTGAGGACACAGGAGACTAAATCCAGCAAAAAGCAAGGTTTTGCAAAGCAGTTAAGGCTCAAAATTAGAGTCAGTCCCATGAACTGATACTCAAAATTGCAGAAAACGATATGTTTGTTATGAGTTTATTAGAGCAGCGTATTAGTAACACTATGGAGTGCTGTCTTGGTTATTTACTGAAAATAAAAATTACAAAACAAAAAAAGACTTCCTGGGTCCTATTTTCACCCCTGCACATAGGGATTTGCATGTGTAATTACCATGAACACCAAAGAGCAATTAATCATCCAAATCCCAATGCTTCGAGATAAAGACAGAGACCTCAGAAAGTGACAGACAAGCTCAGAAGAGGAGGAAGGTTGAGGAAAGTGGCTGCAAACCCAGATTTTCACGTGCCCCTGTGATTCTGGTCCGATAGCCTCCATATGCCATTTCTCTGTTTGTAATCCAGAATTACTTATTTTTGGCAGTGCAAGCAACAGCTCCAACTAACCTCGAAGCTGAGCTCATTTCTGCTTTGTTCGGAACAACTCCAGCATGGACTGCTGGGGAGCTGGAACTCCGCTGAGCATTTTAAAAGTGATGCATGAGGCAGAATAAAGGCTCTGGCTGTCTCATGGTAAACCACAATGCGTTTGCCCAACGGCCTCCACCAGCCCTGTTCTCCCTGGGGTGCATGCCCCCAGATCTGCAGTGGTCCCTGGGCAAGAAGCTTAGGGCCCCAGGAGTTGCAGAGGATGGGAGGAGGAAGGGCTGCTGGCCCTCGGGCTTTAGCTGAGCTTGTACCCAGGCTGCCCTTGCAAGAGTCGCAGGCTGATCTGGGGCAAGGGGCTTGTGTTCTCATCTGTAAAGAGGGCTACACCTCTTAGAGGGGGCATGAGCATGACCCAAGAGGAGGCCTGGAAGCACCCAGCCCCATGCTAGGGTAGTCCAAAGTGCATGGGCTGGATGAGAGTGAACTGGCCGCCTGCCGACAGTGGCATCCACTGAAATGGATGTGGAACATGATGGGTTGGAGGCCACTAGGACCCTATGCATTCACTAACGTACCCTGTGCGGGGTTCATTCAGTACCCATGTGGGAACCGTCCCCTTCTGGATATCACTAGGCTGCTGTATGTACCTCTCCACACTTCCCTGTCAGAAGCCATTCAGTGCTACTGATTAAGAAGATGCCTTGGGGAGGCTGGCCTCAAGATGAGAGCTGCATTCCTCCCAAACCCCAGCCAAGAAGTCCTGAAGTGGTGTAGGGACCACCAAAGGGATGGAGGCTTTGGGTAGCATGTGAAACCATGTCCTGTGTCTGTCTCAGGCTGGTGCAAATAGCCTAATGATGCACTGCCCATGGGCAAGGAGGGGAGAGGCAGACAGACCATTTAGGTCTTGACACTTCACACCAACTTTGCTCCCAAGCTGCTCTCACTTTTGCTCAGGGTACATCTGGTATGCCTCCCAGCTGCCTCTACTCTTGGGCATCCGTATTCGCAGAGGAGCTCCGTGTGGGTGTCATGGCCTCTTTGAAACAGCTCTGCGATGGTAGAGCGGCCTACCCACCGTCCCCAACCCCCAACAGGTGGAGCAGGGCTGAAATGACCAGCCCTGATTGGTTGAGCTGGGATGTGAGCCCAGGGCAGTAGGCCTCCTGAGCGTGGGCTTTCCTCTTCCTCCACACCGCCCACTCAGACACAGCCCAGCTCTGGCCACACAGACCACATACTTCTTTGGGGCTGCCTCCCCCAGAGTACAAGTCTCTCTACTGAGCTGCATGCAGGAAGGAGGTGGGCTCACAGCTGACAATCTTGGGGATCCAGGGGGCCTCTGCCTTCTGTGCCACAGCTATCCCCTGCAGTCCTGGATATCAAGTCTTCTCTGGGGGCTCCCAGAAAAAAAACACTAGGTTTACAGAAGGCCCACCTCATTCCACACTGGAATGCTTCCCATAAATGCACACCTAACCCATTTTTCCCTTCAAGCCCAGCTGGTGCTGGCCTACAGGGGTCCAGGGGGCTCCTGTGGGAGGGTCTTGGCTCTCTCTGGCCCAGAATTGGGGGCAGCAGGGTGCTCAGGCGGGGGATGACTATGGTTCTGACCAACTGGCTGCTCCAGAGTGGAGGCGGGCCACCACTTGGTCTTCTCCACTAAAATGCTAAGCTGATTGTGGCTGGGTAGAGGACAAGCTCTCAGAAACAGGAAAAAATCAAAGCTAGAGCTGGTTAGAAAAGGAAGGCACAGAAGGAATGGATGCAGTGAGGCCATCCGGGCTCAGGCCTGGAGAGAAATAGATGGGGTCAGCTTTTTGAGCTCTTCAAGGCAAAGGAACCAAAGATCCAAGTCAGAGTGGAGGCCCAAAGGAAGGACATCCCCAGGAGAATAGGGGACTCCTACAGAAAGGGGGAAGAGCCATGACACGGCAGAAGACTGAAGAAGAGTGGAGCACAGAATATGTGCAAGATTTGGAGATGGGCAAGGGGACCACTGAGCACAGGGGATGGAGAGGACAGGCAGGCTGTGCCTGCGGCCACAGGCCCCTGCCTTGCCATGGTGTAGAAGGACAGTTCCCCACTGCTCCTCTGGGGCTGAATCCTGGGGTTGCTCCTTTTCACAACCTTGTGAACACCTGGGAGGGGGAGGGGGGGCACCTCACACCACCCTGAGCTACAAAGCTTCCCAAGATGGGCCCCTGCCCCATTGTCACCAGGCCTGTGAGGGGCTCCCTGACGCCCCACATGGGCTGGTCCCGGGTACTGGGAGCAGCTGGCCTGGCGGGGTCTGCCACTCTGGCTGGGGTATAGCCTGTGGGACACTGAGCCCCTCGGCCCTGGAGAGCTAGCCAATGGCTGGCTGAACAAATATTCGCATTTTCCAACTGTGCCACAATGTGGGCAAGGCTGGGAACTGATGAGTCTATAGGAAGAGAAAAGAAGAAACAGAAAGAACTGGTGGAATGCAGGTGGCAAAACCGTGCTGCGCACGCACCTCCTACAGAGTGCGTTGGTGGTGGTCTCAGAGTCCCTGCCTGCTCTGAGCCTCTCCAGTGTGGTGGCACTTGGGGTCTGGCCCGGAAAAGCACCTACTTGGGGACATACTCCCAACAGGGCGGCATGTCGTTTCCTAAGGGCCTTCTCCTCGGGTTTCACTATGCCTCCTGCCGCCATTTTTTGAAATAGGTAAACACGTGTCATCCTAAACCCCAATCTTCCCTTAGAAATGCAGAGAAAAGGCCGGGCCCAGCTATTGGGCTAAGAAAGTGGAGGGATGTTTTACTAGCAGTCTAGCAGAGCTCAAAGTTGATGTTCTGAGGGAGCTAGCATGGTGAGCCAAACTTTGGACCTTTCTTTCCTGGTCTAATTAAAAGAAAGCTTCACAATAATGCAACTATGCTCTCCCAGACGCTTAGGTGAGACTGATTTGTGAAGAAGGGGGCCAGTCAGCTGAGAGGCGCTGGGGCAGGGCAGGGGAGGCCAGCCCCGGGGCCAGGGGTGGGGGGCGGTGGGGTGGGGGGCTGGGTTTACCGGGCACGCAGCCGCTATTCTGAAGCATGCATCTGGATTTGAGAAACAGTGTAGGGGAATACGGCTGCCAAGAGATAACCCTGATTCCATGCCACCACCCTAAAACAGAATTGCTTCAGAATATTCTGAAAGACTGAGACTTGAAAGGAATGGAGGCTGCAGAAAAAGCTCAAGCACATTGTTACAACAGTCTTAAAAAGCAATTTCTCTAAGCCATGCGAGCACTGGGTGCGCAGCTGCAAGGAAAATGAAACCAAAGAGTTGTTTTAAATGTGCAGTACCAGTTCTCCCGTGGGGGGCCGGGGGCTCCGGCTGGGAGCTGGGGGTTTTCTGTTCTTTGGATTTGGGGGCATTCCGTGTGTGTGCTTTCCCTTTATCATTTCTTTGGGGCTGTCTCCCCTGGCTTTGAGCAGTTGGCCGCATCAGCTAGGGGTGACCCCCTCCACAACAAAAGCTCACACTGCTCTGGCTTCATGCTGGGGAGCAGAGCTGGCAGCCATGCTGCTCTCTCTCTCTCTCTGTCTCCCAAGAGCCAGAGACTGTCACCTTCTCAGAGGGAGAGGCCTTGGCCACCGTCCTGGCCTGGGGTCCCGGAGTCGGCTTCCAGCCCTGAGCCCGACCAATCCCGAAAGTTGCAGAAGCGGTGATGCTAGAAAAGTGGGGTTGGTTACAAAACACACCGAATGCTCACATGTGCCTGGGGCTAGGGGCGGCTAGAATACTGGGGCTGTGGCATGGAGTGAACGGATCCTGCACCTTTAAAACGTGAAAATAAAATAGTCACGAAACAACCACCTCAACATCTAAGTCCGGCGTACTTAAACAAAAATGGAAAAACGGTATATATATTATATATATGTGCGTCATATATATATATACATCTGAAAAAGTTTAGTCCGTTATTTTATGACAAATAACAAAAGGAAATAAGCATGCCTGTTAGTTCTAACTCTAAACTCCAGTTAAAGGGACATTTTTGGTAATTATGATGGTAAACTCAGTCTTGAGAACATTTCAAAAATACCATTTTCTGAAAACTATTTTTTCTGAGACATTTTCAAGAACATGTTGAAGGATAAATGGAAACTAATTTTAAATATTTCATTTTGTTTGAAAAAATACAGGCTCTTTGAGACAGTAAGCTCATTTTCCCATGGTAATTCTTCCGCCAACCAGAAAACCCCTGCCCCAGCCATCTGGGTCTTGGGTCTCCTTCCCCCTGAAGCCTCTCCTTTGTCTGGAATGGTCCTCCTGTTACCCTAAATAATTACACCAAAAGGCCAAAGAGCCTTCTTTAGCTGTGGGCCCAAATGCTCTAGCAGATATGTAAAGCATTCTGCAAACCCCTGCTGGGCTTGCTGGAGATCCTTGCATTAAAACCAATGTGAGGTCAAGAACCACTTAGAAAATAGATTGCACTGACCACCAGCTGGAGGGACAACTTGGTCAAGCAGTTTCATGCTGGTTTTCTTCCAGATTTTCTTGATCACAGCTCGGAGTTCTTCATTCGCTTGTTCTAGGTTCCCTGATTTCAAAAAGCAAGAGGGGAAAAGGAGCCTTGCTTCTCTCAGCCAGCTCTCCTGTCTGTTCCCACCAGGGCTGCTTCCTTCCCAGCCTGGCCTGGAGCAAAGCCTTCAGATGAGATGGGGCTCCCCTACCCCAGGGCTCTCCAGCGGAGGAGTCACAGGCGAGTAGTGGGTGGGCCTTCTACTGGACAGTCACTCCACGGTGGGAAGCGTGTTTTATTCTGGAATTCAAGGCCTATGCAGCCTGATCTCGTCCTACCCTTCTAGCCAAGGCCTATCCCTCCCCACTGCCCCCAGCTAGGATGCCTTCTATTCCTCCACTGCCTGTTCCAAACCCTGCCTCCAATTCACCCACACGAGACTGTCTCAATTCCTACTGCAGGTACTCGTCAGCACCCCAAAAATCTGGTCTTTTATTATATGGGCTGAAGCCTATCTCCTCAGCTAACCTGTCAGTCCCTAAGACCACCCTGCCTTCTACCTCATGGTGACAGGCTGGTCAGGGCCAGGGATGGGTGAGCACACTGCCAGGGGGACTGGGAGCTTGGAAAGACTGGCTTCATGCAGAGGTTCACCTAGTGCTCTGAGGCTGCTAGCAGAGAGCTGTCTGCAGACCACAGCTGTGCCTTGCTGGCCTCTCTTCCCTCTCATCCACGGAGTGTGTCAAGAGTTGGCTCCTTCACAGCCTCCACTTTCCCGTCTCCTGTCACTCCCCAGCCTGCTGCAATCGGCTTTCTGTCTCACTCTCACATCATCACTGAGCCAACCCCAGCAGCCACCCTCCAGGACTGAGTGTGGCCATGAAGACCAATGCAGTTTGAGCTCAGCAGGGGAGACGCTGCTGCTAACGGTCCCCGATGCCAGCTCTCTGCTCCCCCCTGGCAGAGGGGCTCCTGCAGACATCCTCTCCTCTTGGCCTCAGGACTCCTCCTGACAGATGCATGTTTATTCCTTTTCAACAGAGAAAGAAGCTAGAGCTCACCACCAGGAAATTCCTCTCTGCAGGTCACACAGCAGAAAGGGACAGCTGGAGTGAGCACATTTGTGGTGGTCCTGTCTCTGCCCTAGCCCTGCTCCGTCCACCACATTTCTCCTGCTCTGTCGTGAGCAGTGGCAGGAGTCACTGCAAATCTTTCTGGGACAAAGTGAAGCATAAAGGCAGGGAGGCACAGCCAGCTGGCCCAGCACTCACTGCCCCCTTTCTCAGGGCCTCCCCTTTGACAAGAAAAGGCCCAGATGGGAGAACGCAAGATGGGATATGGCATCCCTCCCCTCTTGTCCCAGGAATGCTCACCTTCTGTCTTGATTTTAAGAGCTGTTCGAACCAAAGCAAACAGGGTTGCATTAAACATGACCGTCCCATCACTGTTGAGAGGCATGTTCATGGCCACTAGTCTCTGTAAACAGAAGAAGTTTCTCAATGGAAGGCGAATGATGGATGACAGCCATGCCCCTTTTCCGTGCTGATTCTCTGTTTATCCCTTGACTCACTCTAGTCAACAGTTCAATTCTACAACTCCTTGGGGAGGACCTACCATCTGGGGGGACTCGGAGCTGACACCGATCAAGGCTTTAGTCATGAAACACACATGCTGGCATGCGGATGGTATGCTCTGCTTGTTTTTAACCTCAATGTTTAAGACCTGACTGTCCGGGCGCTCTTCTGTCCCTCCCCGTGTCTTGGGGTCAGGCCTCCCTTCTGGGCACATCCTTAAAGCTGCGGTGAGGGTGAGACAATACCACAGATACAAGCCAGGCACGGGTCCTGGGACTTGGGTCCTCACTATTCCTGACACAGGGAGTGTCCTTTGGGGAACCCTGCTCTGGTGGGACCATCATGGAGTGTTTCCTACAACTCCACATGGTTGCTCTGTCTGGTCATTCAGAGCAGGACCCCTACTTCCTGTTTCTCTTCTCCTTTCTGGTCCCTTGAACACCAGCACTGGGAGCTGAGGAGGGGGCTTGCAGGAATGACACCCTCTCTGGGCCCTGGTCACCTCCGCTGCAGATGCAGACGGCACACCCAGCTGGGATTCAGGGGAATCGTGGTTGCAAAGATTTCAGGAGATGCCTGGCACATAATCAGAGCTAAGCAAGTGGTATTTGTAATTGTTAATTGTTCCAAATTTCTTATTTTGAGCTGGCAAAGTGTCCTAAGAGATTTTTTAACACTTTTTCTCTTCCCTATTAAGGGACTAGAATCTCACGTTTGCATGACTCATTCCACCTAAATTTCTAGTCCTACTATCAACCATGCATCTCCAAACCCAGCACAGGCAGCCATGGGAGACTGCATGTCCATTCGCTTTCCCTGGCAAGTTCCTGAACCAGCAAAATGGACTGTATTGTGCCTCAAGGATACTTAGATCCTTTATATAAAAGAGTCTGGAAAAGTAAACACAAAACGACAGCATGAGCTGGAACCCATCTTAGTTTTGGAAAGCAGAAAAGAGGTTGGTACTGAAAAATTTATGAAAAAAAGTCAACTTCTGTGGGTTATTCTCTGTACCTTCGTCCAGAGTCTAGGCTACAGAGAAGCAACGATGTGGGCAAAGACCCAAGGACCCACCAATGTGGTTTTCTGGACTTTCGGGGCAGAGAACAATGAGCTTGCCTCCAAAGATTTCTTTGAAAGCCTGCAGTACATTGTAGACTCCACTCTGTTATCCTGGGTTCTGCCCAGAGTTGGCCCAGCAACACTGGGTAAAACGGCTGAACCCAGAATCGTCTTAGACCCCTGGGGAGAGGTTACCAGCTGTTGTGTGGCTGGATGAATTTCTAGGGGCAGCTCCAGTAAGCAAATCTTGCTTGTCTGCTTCAGAAAGGGGAATTCTCTTCTGTTGCTACTATATTCCCTGGGAGCTCTATGGAAGAACAACAAATCTCAGCTAGGTCTCAGAGAGAGCATGGTCTGGGGTGAAAACTACAGAAGTAGGGGGGGGGTGGGGTGGGGTGGAATAGGAGATGTGGACCCAACTCTGAGAGGCCACCACTGACGTATGGCTTATGGGGACAGGCACCATGGCGACAGAGGAGAACGCCACCATGTCCACGGTCACTTGAGCTAGGAAATATCCAGGGCACCATGTCTTCTCCATCCTACTTCCTAAGCACACCTTTCAGCTCTGCTCTCCTCTGTCCCCACCTCCACCGACCTCACTCTGGGTGACTCCAGTAGCTCTCTGGGTGGTCTCCTGTTTACTCTCCCATCGCCAAGGGGCAACTTAATACCATGAAACTCTACTGATGCTTCTTCTGTGAGACTCAGCCTGGCACAGAGGACTTCTTGGAGCTGTGCTCAGCTTGTGCCCGTAGTCCCCCTCCACTTTCCCTTACATTCCAGCCACACCAGTGACTCTCCATGTGCCAACATGATGGCCATTCTCCGACCTCCACATCTGAGCTGTGTTCCCTTTCTGCAATGCCCTCCCACTTCTGTCCTTCCGGACCTGATGCAAATGTCATCTTTCCATCTGCCCACCCAGTGACACAATCCCCTTCCTATTGTTACTATTGGCTGACAGGGTGTCCTCTAAGAGTTACAAATCTGATAGCTCCTCAGGACAGGAACCACACAGGATTCATCTCTGCATCCCCAATGCCCCTGATGGAAGGCTCAGCAGAATGCCACTTAGTGTGTGTTGAATGACGCAGGGAGTCCCTGCAGAGAGGCCATCAGACACACAATACAGGACACTTACCTTACAGGCTACTCTGTGTGGGCACAGTTTCCCAAACCCCAGGGGAGGCTGGATGCGGCGGAGCAGTGTGACCACATCGAGGTGCTTGATCCTTCCTCTGAAGACAGAGTACAGTGTGAGGTCCAGGGAAAAGCTGTCTGGCCTGAACTTTCAGTCCTGCCCACCTTGCACAAAAATCACAGCCAACACTTTAGAAACAGCTCACGCAAGTCACATGGAAGCCTTTTCAACTTACTTTGCCTCAGGGTCATATTCCGACCATATTCTTTTGAATTCATCTAAATGGTGAGGCCCCAGAATAGACCAGTCCCGGGTCAGATAATCAAAGTTGTCCATGATGACAGCCACAAACAGGTTGATGATCTGAAAAAAGCAAATCAGAGCACAGGTGCTTCACCCGTAGTGGAATGGATGGGGTTAGACCCCAGTAAGAGCCTCCTAATTACAAGGGTCATGACACATTTGGAACCCATTTCTCTGAGAGAGCCCAAAAGACTTTTTTTCTGGAGAACCTTGGGGAAAAAGACAGGCTTCCAGCTTTCCAAAACGGCTTTGGTAAAGTCCTAGGGGAAGGCAGGGGCCATGTCATTTGGCCTTTTCGAGGCACACTGCAGTTTTATAATTCCATGGCCACCAAATGCCTCACACTGCTGAGTCACTGCTATGTGCCGTGACTGTGGAACTTCTGTAAAGACACTGGCAGCCCTGAGAAGCTGGGGTGGTGACTGTCCCAAGACTCTCTTAGTGAGCCTCAAACCCCTGTTCACAACGAAGGTGCTAGTAACACACACCTGTTGGAGAAAAACCTTGCACCACCAAGTGAAGTCTAGAGTGCACATCAACGTATGACACCCCACAGTAGTTCGACAGGGCAACACCCATGGTCTGAATCCCAAACACTATACAAGCATCTGTCAGTTGAGAAAGAGAGCTGTCATGATCACCTACCAGAAATGCGCAGAGCATGTAAAAACTGATGAAATAAACAATGGCAAAGTTACTCCCACACGTGTACTCCTCTCCAGGGTTGTAGTCCGACTCAGGGTCGCAGAGCTTCCCGGGGAGGCAGGCCAGCATGATTTCCTGCCAGGCTTCACCCGTGGCACACCTTGTTTAGGTTAAGAAGAGAAAGGGCTTTAGTAGACTAAGGAGTGATTTGAAGCTTAGACCTTCATGACATTTTTACGAATTTTTTTTTTTAAAACAAAATTTGTAATTAGAGCAAAGCCTAAGTGATTTGGGGGGAAAAGCCAGTATGAATCAGTGAAAATTCCTAAATTGAAATTCCTACTTATTTTCAAATGCAACTTCTCTGAGTGGAGGCCCTGTTACAGCTCCCTTTGATTTAAAAAAAATCATTTGATACAAGCACACCAATTCTTTCCATATAAATGGATGTTTTTGTGTCTTCTTTCAATGTTCATGTCACAATCTTGAATAATTTTTCCATTACCTAACACCCGACAACTTGATTAGATCCCCATTCAATCTGTTTGAAAGCAAAGAACTGAAAACTACCAAACTGTAAATGACTCATTATTTAATCACGAAACTCGTTAGAAATTACCTGTATAATTTCTAGAAAGTCCTCTCACTCCAAGGCATTTTGTTTACAAAGCTAGTTAACTGGGGTTAGAAACAATCCTACAAAATCTGAAACTCTGCATCTTGGATATTCCCCGTTGGCTGTGCAAAGGCCTTTCTGTTCCTGCTCAATGTCCATGTTCTTGGGTGTGTTCAAGTGCATGCCCCCATGCGTAAGTGTGTATCCGACCATTTTCCTGGTGACCTCAGTAGACCTACTAGCTTCCAAAGGGATAACCCTTAAGACGGCCAGTCTGAATGACCATAGTGGTTTCCACAATCCAGTGAAATTCCTCTGACCGAAAGGCTACGGTCTCTGTTCCAGAATACAAACAAACACAACAAGCCACCACCATCGACCAGGAGGGGCTGCAGTGCTGTAACAGAGCACGTGTCCTGAGTCACTCTGGAGCCCAGAGCCAGAGAAAGATGTGCCATTGTGGGACTCAATCACCTGAAGAGCAGCAGCACCGCCTGGGGAAACGTCTGGAAATTGTTGTTCCTGTTGATCTGGTTGTTATCTCTCATAGCAACCTTCCCAAACATCTAGGTGGAGAAATTATTAAGGAAATAAAGATTTTGTAAAAAACAAAAAACCACAAATAATAATAATAATACCTCCTCCCTTCCAAAACACTCTCCACGAAACATTCACATGTGAATTTAGAACTAACACAAGCTTGATCAACAGCCAGGAGGGCTTCCTCGGGGTGCTCGGCAAACATGGGGCGGGACCCAGGCTAACCATCGGGAGCACGGTGCCCAAGTCAGGCAAATCCTCGCCTCAGGGAGTTCCTACCAGGCAACCAGACAGCCCCTCCTGCTGAGAGCTGGCATGATCCAGCTAGATAGGGAAGCACAGAACGGATCTGCAGCCAGGGGCTGGGGTCAGGAGAGGCCTCTGGAGGAGTGACATTTAGGCCCAGAACTGAAGGCACAGTGGAAGCTAGTCAGGTGAGCAGGAGGGTGAGGTGTTTGGGCAGAGGAAGCACTGCCTGCAAAGGTGCAGACGGGACATGGCCCAGGAGCCCCAGGAAATGAAAAGAACGGGAGTGTGCAAAGACAAAAGATCAGGCTGCAGACAAGAATGGGGGCCAGTGAGCCACAGAAAGGAGGGAGGCCTTTCTGGAAGGGCAGAGGGAAGTTAGCAGTGGGACTTATAGAAGAGCAGGCCATCTTAGAAGAACCTGGCAAAGCCTCCTGAGCAAACTGGTGGTGGTGTGTGCGGGGCAGCTTGCAGGTCTCCGTGACAGCTCTTGTTTTGTAGAAGAACATCAGGTTATAAAAGGCCATTTGGGGCACACGGCATCCCACGCTGAATTACATGGGCTCCAGTTCCTAGCTCCCAAACAGATCCCTAGCGAACTGCAAATGTTACTACGTCTTCAGATAAGTTAGCGCTGCCACGCCTTTGGCTCTGGCATCACCCCACCGCTTTGACACTCGCATCCCCCCTTATCTGAAAGACAGCATCCCAAACAGAAGAGCAGGTAGCAGAGAGACCCTCCCCCCCAAGAGGTCCAGCAAGCCACTCTCCACCTTCCACTCCTCCTGAAGGTTGTGCCTATCCCTTGAGGGCTCAGCAATGAATGAAGCCCCAATCCCTTTCCACATGCTGGAGAAGCAGGGAAGAATCCTATAGCCCCTTAGCCATTGTCACAGAAGGGCCGGCTTCGTGCTTCTTTTTTGAAAGGGTGCTACCCATCCCAAATAATGACCCCAGTGCAGCCCCCTCCGCAGCATCTGGGAGCTGGTGGTTTCAAGGAGGAATCTCAGCTGGCAGTGATAAAATATAACTTTCCAGGCTATCAACAGACTTCTGTATCATTAAATATATTCTTAGTAACATCAGTACAGAAACTAGAACAATTACAGCTTCTCTCAGTATCACATTTCCTGCTGCTGAAACCAACTGTGAGTATTCTCCATCAGTTGATTCTCCCAAGGCCCAGATTGGGGGTGAGGAGTACCACTAAACCCAGCCGTCTGTGGCATGTCCCAGCCTCTCCCGGCTCTTCTAAGCCTGGCTGCCCCGGGCACAGACGCTTGCCTGGAAAATCAGGACCCTGGCTTTCCGTTCTCCCTGGCCAACGCACATCTTGCCACCGATCTGGGGCTACCCAGCAAAGGGGGCATGGGGGTAAGTGACTAGTGCTCACCTGCATGCCAATCACCGCGTAGATGAAGAACAGCATGGCTATGAGGAGGGCGACATAGGGCAGTGCCTGGAAGAAGGAAGCAGTTGGCTCAGTGCCCACCTCCCCCCCCCCCAACAATGACTGCTCAGGTGTAGAATGAAGACTCAACACAGGGCCATGGGCTTCTCTTTTTTGGGTTATGTTGAAAGGACATCGCTGGTGAGGGAGGACTTTTTTAATATAATTTTTTAAATTTTTTTATTAACATATAATGTATTATTAGCCCCAGGGGTACAGTTCCGTGAATCGCCAGGTTTACACACTTCACAGCACTCACCATAGCACATACCTTCCCCAATGTCCATAACCCAATCACCCTCTCCCTACCCACCTCTCCCCGGCAACCCTGTTTGTTTTGTGAGATTAAGAGTCTCTTATGGTTTGTCTCCCTCCCGATCCCATCTTGTTTCATTTGAAGGAGGACTTTTTAAACCCCAAGCCAGCATAATAACTTTAGTCCTGAGTATACCAGGCATGCACACACCACCTAGTGTTACGAAGCTATGGGCAGAATATGTTTTCCACCATCATTAACAGTATACGCTGACCCTAAACAAAAAGGTGTCAAGGAAGACATATTGCCCTCATAACAATGTTTATATGCATCATTGGATTCCTCTGTTAAATTATAATTGACCAAACCATTCCAGAACACTGGATATTCAGATCTCTTCCACTTTCTTTCGTGGGCATGTTTGGGGTGGGGGCAAGGACTATTGTAGGTCACACTGCAAAGGAATATCTTTGTGCAAAACCACCCATGTCTGCATAAGGCGAGGTCTTGGGAGTGAAATTACTGGGGCCAAGGGGAAGAACCACTTTCTGGCTGCTGCTGCAGCGTTTTTCAAAATGCACACTTTCTGAAAGAACAGGAATTGGGGGTTGGATCAGGGAAAAGAAAGGGAGCTGGCTGGGCGGTTGCCAAACCTGGTCTCTCCTTAAGAACATTAAATACAGCTGTATGTGTGGGATCAGACCCCTGGTCCCCTCATCCCTGTTCCTCAACTACTTTTCTACATGTCCTGTGACAGAAGATGTCTATTCACATGGTGCACCTCCAGGTAGTGGCCAGACTGTTGAACTTAATGCCAAACACACATGGTTAAAGCATCTACTTTCCCTTATCCACAAAAGGTCATCAGAAAGCCAGTGGCTAAAAACCTTCCCAATGTGTGCCAGCTCTGGATCTGCGAATGCTTGCCCAGTCCAGTGTAGCAGCACCATCTTGATGGCTGGCCGGTGATCAGGACCCCACAGGGTTAGTTCCAGGCTTTCCTCACCATACCTATACGCATTTTTCTTCCTAGATTACTGAATCCTTAAGAATTCTGTTGGCACTGTTTCTCAGTTTTTGTGAACTACCACTTGGTGCAATAAATTTATCCATAGTGGCCAAACTTTTAAAAAAGAAAAAGCTTAATAATTTCCTTAAAAGTAAGTATAACATTATTGCATGAATCTATTTTTGTAACAGTTCACTCAAAAACGTTGGTACATTATATTAATGACAAATGTCTGGGATTTGACCCCTTTCCGAGACCAAGGCTCACGTGAGGCCCTGCTCACTCTCCCCCAGAGCTGCATCCCCAGTTCTTCCTACCATCTCAGGTTCCCTGCCAAGATCTGTGATTTCCCCTCTTTGAGTTTCTGGATCTACCCTCTTCCCCAGATGCCATCCCTTTCTAATTTACCCAAGGAGAAAAATCTTACCCACCCAGAAAAATACTCCCCGGGATGTTAACACCAGTTACCTCAGTGGTGGTGAGCTTAAACTTTTTCTTTCCGTGTCTTTGGATAGCTTCACTTGTCAATGTGTTTATTTCAAATTGAAAAGTCAAAAAGATTCATGATTCACTTTCTAATGTTTATACATAGCTACAATTCTCTTACACAGACGAATATTTTAAACAAGAATCTGTACTCCGTCTCCAGTTAATTCAGTCTGGAAGACTAGAATATCTGGGGTGGGGTACTAAAACGTACAGGAGAAGCTGAGTCAGTCCTGGTTCAGAAACAGACCAGAACCAGGCTGCACCAGCCTGGAGAGTCACAAATAACAAGTAAGGCCTGGCTTATTGCCCAAATGTCCTCAGTGCTATGATCTTTCCAGGTCCTGGGTAATGCAGAGATTGGGGATGGTGTGCTGGCTCAGGTGGAGTGGTCTCTGATTCAGATCCAGCCCAGCCAACAGAGAGGACTGTAGCAGCCTTAGGAGGACGAGATATCCTGGCAAGAAGCTGTTCAGTTTACGGGAGGTCTGCTGGGACCTGCCATTTCTGAGACGTCATCCTCTACGACTGGGCATTCCAGAAAGGACTGAGGGGCTTGGAGACTCCCCATCTCTATTCATCTTAAAAACATTACACCTCTCCTCAACTGTGGGTCCTTACTGCCTTCTGTTTCCTTTAAGCAAGTAATCCTGTCTGATTCACTGAGAACGGCTGGGCCACGGGTTCCAGATCCTCTATTGACCTAGAGGGTCACAGTGGCCATGCAGAAGGGAGTCGGGATCCTCCACAACAAGAGGACACTCGCTGGCTCACATGTGATCTTTAAGAGCAACAGAAAAGCCCCTGGCCTGGCTCTTACCTGAAAGGACTTTATAAAAGTCCACAGCAACGTCCGGATGCCTTCCCCCCTGCTGAGAAGCTTCACCAACCGCATCACTCGGAAAAGACGGAAAAAGGTGATGGAGATTCTATTGCTCTCTTCAGAGTTCTGAAGGGTTATCACGGAGAGGTCAAACCCAATGCAAAGTAGAACATGCAACACTTTCAGAAAAACAGCAACAGATGCAAACAAAGGTGACAGAGGTAAGAACGGAAGATGTGTTTCTAGGGCCTTTTCACCTTGGAAAGCATGATGTGAAAGGAAGAGTTACATGCTAACAACACAGGGCTTGGGAGACTGCATCCACACAGCACATGCATGTCCACATGGTCGAGTGTGCTAAGAGAACGCTGGGCTGGTCGAGAGTACTGGACACTGATGATGAATGCAAACCACCGCAGACACCATTTTGGAAGGACAACCATGGAGAAGACAGAAACACTAGTGGGAAATTCAGCATGGTCAAGGAAAAGGCCCAGCCCCGGGGGACTCGTCACTGATCTTACCCCGGGTGTGGCAGTTGGGACAGGGACATTTTCACTTTCAGTTGGCTTTAAGAAATCAAAGATTGACAATGTATTAATGAATGGAAAGGAAGCAGTGGTTCAGAAGGACGGGCCCCTCCCCACTTTTTAAAAACTTCTGCTTGGTGTCTTAGGACAACACAGCTGTTCCCACCCTGAGAAAATGCCAGGGGCTCTGTCTGAACCTGGATTTGAGGGTGGGCTCAGTCAAGGGCTTTGACATAGACTCAGACACATTACTCTCTAATTCACATCCCAGAACATGATGTTCTGAGGTTGGCAGGCATCCAGTAAAAGAGAAGGCTGCAAGACCTCAGCTGTCTCCAAAGACAGACATGCAGAGAGGGACCCGGCTTCTCATGGGCAGGCTAGTTCTCTGCTGAGGCAGAACTGTGGGTCCAGGACACTAACTGTGCTAGAGCGGGCCACTCAGAACCCCGATGAACAGGAGGAGTCTACCAAACAGGACAAATAGACTGACACCAGCCTACACCGCACGTGCCTCCTGAGGAACATACCTGGGCAGGGCTGCTGAGGAGGTGGGCAAACCAAGTCGGTGGGAGTGAGAGAGGGGCTGGTTTCCCCACAGAAGCCTTCAGCGCCCAGCCTACAGCCCAGAGCGATGTCAGAGGAGACAGCGCTCAGCCCTGTATGACTCTTGGGAAGTGGCAGCTGAGGACTAGCTTGCCCTGAGTTTCTGCACTTCCACCTCACCCGGGGTCTGGCTGGGCACCTAGAGCTCAGCCACCTAGAGCTGAACCACAGTGCTCATCACCCTGTGGGCACCTGCCTCCCCTTCAGGTGGGGACCTTGCTTCCCTCAGTGCCCAGCAGGCAGCCTGGCACTTCTTAGATGCTCAGTGTTGAAGAGATTGGGGAGAGGTTATAAGCAAGCTCTAATAAAACAGTAAGGGCTGAACAAGAGACAAGGAGTGATGGCCTCTCTGTTCCCTTTAGGAGGGTTCCCTCCACTGATGTAGCTGGTCTACCTGGTAACCGACAGAGGAATGAGCCTCCTCTGGTTGGGGGCCTGGGACTGCTGAGTGGTCCCCAGGGTTTCTAGGGAGCCTACTGCATGGTGTGTCTGCACAGCTAAGAGATTTATGCACACGCGTAGATGTGCACACAGATCTGAGTGATTCTCATCCCTGGGGACACATGGAAAGTAAGGGCTCCGTTCTGAATTCTCACTCTCGTTAAGAGCTGCCTCCTGAGACCAAACATAAAATTCATGGAAAATAAGCAGTTGGTGGCACATCCTATCAGAAATGAAATTAGCAATGTGATGACAAACCCAGAACTAATAGGTTCTGACAGGGTTTCAGAGGAGTCCCTGATTCACCCGGGATGCTTAGAAGGTGAACCCTCCCATGGCATGGTCCAAGCCCCGATCACCGTCTTTTATTTTCCTCTTCTTTTCTCTCACCTCAAGACAAAGAACATCTTAAAGGGGCAGATGATGGTTTTAACTTATGACTTTAACAAATGAAGGAATTAGTTCGCCAAACTTCTGCCTCCCAATCTCCCTAAGGCTGTGTGCATGAGGCTTTTGGATCTCACCTATGCAGCCGGAGTGGGAGGGTGTGGGAGTATGTGAGGGTGTGTGCGTGCACGCCCCTGCCTACCTCTGCTCAAGGGGGCCAGGGTGTGCCTAAGACAGAGCACTCTACAGTGATACTGTTGAGATGTCTGTAACTTGTGTGTTAGACCTGCAAGGATAAGAGGGCTGTTGGTCAGGGAAGACACTCTCTGGCTACAATCTGGCCCCAGCCAACTTCTGTTTGTCCTCCCCATTCCATTGCAAGTCTGATGGACCTCTCCCCCTCCCACATGATGTGGGAAAGTCGGTGGCCAAACTGACATTTGAAGTGCACGTCTCTTTTCCAACTGATACCTTTGAAGTATGACACATTTTGGACTATGAACTTGAAACCCTGGATATTCTTAAGAAAAAAAGTGAAGAGGAGAACGAGACAGCATTCGTGGAGGGACATGTCAGCACAACATGCAGAAAGGAAGGACAGAACAAACAGCACACCAAGCCACGAGCACCCCCAGTGCAGCCTGTGACAACCCCTTCTTTCCTTGGCGCCGTGCCGGGCAGGGAGCACTGCTGCAGGCAGGGTATTGCTGGCAGCACTGGGGAGCGGGGCAAGTTGCCAGAATATCTTACAAGTTGGAAGGACCCTGAAGATGGCTTTGCCCAAACAACAGATGCCAGCCAGATGCAAAGGGTAGGCCAGCTCTTACCCTGGGCTGCATATTCCAACTGCCCGTGGCTGGCTCTTTTGCAGAATCTGTTGCCCAGTTCCCACGCCAAGGATTCTTATCTCCTTGGACTGGGGTATGCCAGAGCGTTGGTAGTTTTAAAAGCTCCCAGGTGATTCTAAGGTGCTGCTCGAATAGGGAACTACAGTCCTAAGCCAGGATAAAGCTGGGCACATCTTCAGATGGTCACTTACGTCAACAAATTCCTTTTAGTCTGGATGAGTCATACAGAGGGGAGCCCCTAGAAAAGCCCACTCAAGCTGTTACAGCTGAGCAGTGGGTTCTTTTGGATCTGATGAGGACTCAGTACCCAGATGATGCAAATGGGTTAACTGCATCTCCATCTTGCCCACAGAGGATGGAGGAGGCTTGGAAACACAGCAGGCTTTGGAGGCTGTGGTTGGAACATGGGTGAGTGGATGCCCTATGGGATTCTGGGATGAATGACAGAATGCCCTCAGAGGCTGAGAGTGGGAAAGGATTCACTCCCCGGGTAGTTTTCCAAAGAGAGCCAGCAGGGCTGAGTGGTCAGTCCTCAGTAGAGGGGATTCCAGCACCATCTCTGGGCTTGGGCTGGAGGCTCTCAGCAGCTCCTTCCGACCCTGAGGGCCACTGTCTTCAGCTGGGAACCCCACAGGGAGAAGGACCTCAGCCCCAGGAGGCCAAACTGTATGCCTGGGTCCAGAAGTCTCCTTAGATCTCGGGGGTGCACCTGATGTCCCCTTCAGCCCCTTCTCACAGGGTTCTCAGGAAGGCTCTTGAGATGCAGATTTTGGGTTAGCCCCCAGCAAATATAGGAGCCAAACAATCCCCGAGCTTCCCAAGTGCAACCAAGGACACCAGTCTACACTTGCTGTATTAATCCCCCTGTCTTCCCAGAAAGGCTTAGATGATGTGGTTTTCCACTCCAGAAAGGAAGCAAACCAGTTAACTCAAGGCATCCTGGAGAACAAGCTCTTTGGGGGTGGGGGTGGGAGAGAGCCCCTTCCAGCTACATCTGACCTGGCACATAACACTTCTGGGAAGGAGGGCTTTTGTATATGGGAATACTGAGCCTGTGTCCAGAAATCAGTGACCTGGTCCCCAGAACAGGGTTGGCACCTGGAAAAGAGGGGTGAACAACCAGAAGCTGAGTACAGCTGTCGGTCACCAGGTCAGAGACCATTACTGGTCCCTGGGAGGGAGCTCCTTGCTAACTTTTCACATGCTCTTCCGTAAGTAAGAACAAGGTAGTCATGGCTTCTGCAAAAGCATTTGGCCTCCCCAGCAATAACGAGAGTGGGAAAGGATGCAGTGCTGGCAACAGCCACTGCCCAGGTTAGGAAGAGTGGGGTGCTGGGTCATTTTACCATTCGAGGAGCCAATAGGCATCCAAGGGTGAGCAAAGACGAGCCTGCCAGTCATCATCTGACATTTTAGCAGCTTGATGATGTTATGACCAGATGGGGAAAGGCAAATCCATGAGAGCCATCAAACCACTGTCAGAGCAAGGGATGCGGGAGGTACATGGGCAGGGGGCAGCAGGAGGGGGCTAAGAGGGCATCAAGCAGGACAACAGAAAGGGCCATCCAAAATGTTTTCGCAAACAGTACAAACGCAGGTGAGATTTCTCATTTGCAGGCCAGATCAATTATTTTTGAAGATGATGCTGGCAAACGTGACTGGCCAAGATGGCCCTGGCCCAGACCCCAGGTGGAGACTGAGACCCAGGGGCTGGGAAACAATTTAGATGACCACGACCCACAGACAGCACACCCTGTGAAACTCAGTGAAAACCAAAGGTGGGGAAACCACAAACAGGTACACAGTCTTTAAAGTGCTTTTGCTTTAACAACGACATCACCGTATATATGTTTATATATACTTGCCGCTACAATTTTCTAAAAATAAAACCAACATGAAAATCAATTAGGCAACAGAAAAGAAAGATCAACAGAGGTTGGGGGAGAGAGCACAGCAAGTTAAATATTGCAAAAAATGATGACTTATCGCAGCTAAAAACAGCCAACATGGACAAAGGATGTTCAAGCTGAGCTGACCCAGGAGGGGGTAAGGCCAGCCCAGGGATAGGAAGTATGTTGCTCCTCTGGGGAACCTGGCATGTGTGGGAGAGGAGGCTAGAAGAATTAACAGCTCCACCATTAACAGTTATACCATCAGACATTAGGGACACGCAGTCTCTCTTATCTTTGTGCTCATAACTGACCAACTGTACATGCCCAGGACATATGTGTTAAAAGACTAAATAAATGAGAAGGCGGCTTTGAGCATTTGCTCTCTACTGTGGCCCAGCCCAGAACTGCTGAGACCTCCCAAGGGGTTCTACTGGCCTGGGGCGGACAGCTGGTTTGCCACCAGCCGAGGGAGCTTTTGTCTCGGGCTATATCTGACCAGGGAAAAACTCACTGACTAGAAAATGGTATGAGAATGGTCACTCGTGTGATTCTGAAAGTCTGACTGAGTGCTAGAAATGGGCCTAATGAAAGCCTGTTTTGTGCAGACACCCCAAAGTCAAATGCTAACTAGAAAGTTCAGTGTGGGTTTTTGTACCACTGAAGCTACCCCTGACAAATGAAGAAGGATACGTCTGAGAGAGACACTGCTGAGCAAGGCGGGGGCACAGGGGATGGGCATGGTGTGCTCCTGTCCCCAGCATATGGAGGGGCAGCCAGAAAGCTGGGTACGTGCTGTCAACCTGAGGGCACTAGCGCCACACCCCGCCAGCCAACGGGGAGGGGGAGATGAGGCATTGGAGAGCTGGCTTGTTGGCTCAGTGAACAAAGCTCAGCCACATCCTGGTACCCAGAAACCCAGCATTTATGCCCACTGCCTGCACATCCCATTCAGCACGGAGCACTCCAGGGAGACCTACTGGAAGTACAGTTTATTCTATTTTCATTTCCATTATAGACCATCTCTGACTTACACAGGGGTCTGTGCCAGAATTTTCATATAAGTAGACTTTGATGAAGGTTTTAACTGCTTTACATCGGGAGATGGTTAAGCAGGCAGATGTCTGGTCATAAACTCAGAAGAGAGCCCATGACAGCCCAGTTAGGGTCCTGCTGTTCTGACATTAGCAGCAGATTGTTTTATAACCAAGCATAATTTACACATTATGAATGACAATTTTGTAACTGAGTTATGGAATATTTCACATAAAGTGGAATTTACCTACATCGGGGCTCACAGGGGTTGGGGGATATGGCCCCCGGGGTCAAGGAAAACACCACTTTGTCACGGCATGGACTGGGGTGCTGTGAGGCATACATCACACTCTTGTGGATAGATCTTATAGTCCACTTCACTTGTTAGTACATGGAAAATCTACGCTTGGATAATAGCCTGGTATCTCCCTAATACTTTAAGTTATGTAGCAAGTATTTTCACAAACACTGCATCAGTTTATCCCCCTGACATACCTATGAAGCAGGAAGGGCAGATATCATTTGCCCTAGCTGGTCCATGGGGGAACTGAGGCCTGGGTCCAACAAATCAATTTTGAACCAGGACCAGAATTCTCAGGTTTTTAGGCTTAGCTTGGCCCCAGAGCAGTGGCATAAAGAGACACTGCACCATCCTTATTTGAAACAGGCTGTCTGGACACCAGGATGGGTGGTACAATCCTGCAGATATCAGCCAAGCAGAGCAAGGAGGCCCCTTCCCAGCCAGGGGTGGGGGAGGAGGGCGGGGCTGGCCACACGGAGCAGAAAGCCAACACCACAAAGCAGCCCCACCCCATGCTCCATTCATCCCTGCCACGGGCTCTACACAACTGGGGCACACACACAGGACACCCACTAAGACTTGCTAACAAAGTGGAACAGACCAGGTGAGCAGAGCCATTTCTGCCTGCCTTAGGCCCTTCTGGTTCAGGCCTGGGTTAGATCCAAGAACTGTTGGCAGGGGGCAGTGCTCCCCTTTCCTGAGCCTCTTAATTTTGAAGGAGGGTCCTGAGGATGCTTCTGGAAGGTTGGGGGGGGTGTCACTCCACCTGCCACACTGCCACTGCACTTGTTTCCTTATTAAAGGGTTCGATCAAGTGCAACAGAGGAGAATGGACACCCTCTCCTCATACGCACTCAGGCCTCCTTCCCCTGGTCCATGAGATCACCATCGTTCAGGGAGCCAGGACACGGGGTACTCCCTAGTGTCACTAGTCAGACTCGGAGGTATACGCAATAAAGATGAGGACAGCAGCGGCAGCAGCTACGTGTTCATGGAGTGGCTGTGAAGCTTCCCCCTGTGCCTTCACAGAACCATCGTGGGTACCAGGGCACACGTTATGAACTCCATTTGGCAGCTGGATAAACTGAGGCACAGAGCAGTCAGGTGCCCGGCCAGGGTCACCCAACTAGTGAGTGATAATGTTCACATGCTCACGGAAGTTCACTCCCGGCCCTTCACGAGTTCCTAAGAGCTTCTTTCTAAAATCATGTTTGGTTCCAAAATGGTCACTCTAAATTTCCCAATTTCCCTCTCCACTCTTTTTCAGGGACAGGGGATGGGGCAGGGGAAGGGAGGCTACAAAACGTTCTTTGTCTTTCCAAAACAAAGGTGTGCCCGAATTTCTGGAGTGTGGAGAGACCCACGGATAAGGTTTCTAGGCTCCTGAGCGTCAGACTTAACAAAAACAATCACGTCACAGGACACAAAGTTTGCTACTTACATTCACTTCAGTTATAGCAATATCAACGACGCTACCAACAACAATTAAGGCATCAAAAGTGTTCCATGCATCAGTGAAATAGTGCTGTTAGGGCAAGCATTCAGAAGCCACAGAGGAGAGGAAGCACAACAGGAAAAAAGAAGAAAAGGACAGTGTTATAAATAGAGAACATTCTAGCATTATGCCACCCGGCTACGTGAAAAAAAAAAAAAAAAATCACCCTAAAACAAAGATGTTATAGGTTCGTCCCTTCGGGTGCCGCTGCTGACACAGCAAATCAAAACAAGTGCAGACGCCTGTCTCGCCCTGCCTACCAGCCGCTCGGGGAACGCGGCCTGAGCCGGCCCTCCGGAAGGTGCTCTGTGTCTGCAAAGGCCTGGGATCAAGCTCTACCCTCACAAGCCTCCGGTCCGCAGCTCTCGGGAGAAAATGCCTGGTTTTAGATCGAGTGAGGTTGGGGCCTGTGACTTGTCCAGGTGATGCCAGTGCGGGGCGGGGTGGGGAGCGGAATGTGCAGACAAGAGAGAGGACACGAGGCGGGCGGCCACGGCGGGCGCATACTCACGTCGGCTTCGCTGAGGGCCACGTCTATTATGCTGCCGATTACGATGAGGGAGTCAAACGTGTTCCAGGCGTCACTAAAATACCCCTGGACAGAGCAGGCAGGGGGGCAGACGTTGATGAGCACGTAGGAACGAAAACTCCACACGGGTCCCACGGGGACATAGCGGAGGCCCCGCCGTACCCACAGCAACCAGGTGGGGTGGGAGGGCCGAAGGGAGGCCACGGGTACCTGCCGCTGGCAGGAAGGGACACAGGCTGGGGGGCACCGGCATGTGTGAGAGAGGGCGCGCACCCACGCACACGCAGGCACGCAGGACGCACGCACACGCAGGCAGAGCGCACGCATGCGCACGAGCACACGCGCGCCTGTGCAGCGCAGACCCGGGGCCCTAGACCAAGCAGTTTAGCAGAGCAGAGAGCCCTCTGAAAAACCTGCTCTTGCCCTTGGGTTTAGGACCTAAGGGCAACTTCAAACCCTCAGAGGAGGGTGTGCGACCCTTCTAAGTTGACTACCCTTACACAGAAGGGTCAGCAGGCCCTCCCCCTGTTCCTTCCACAGTTTCTCTCTTCTCCCAATTACAGTGCACTGTGGCTGGGCATTTCACACATTCTTTCTGTGCTCTTACACCAAACCAGTACCTCCTGCTCCTCACCAGTGCAAGGATGATGAAAGGTGTGCTCGGTCTTCACAGAGCCCTTGGCCTCCCGTTGGGACAGGGGCACAGTGAGGCACGCAGTTCAGGGCTCAGAGCTGTGGGGTGGGGGTGGGGTTCATTCTGGTATGCGGGGAAGGGGACTGTGCGGGAAGCCCACACAGGTCTTAAAAAGGAAAATAGTCAATGGTGTTGATGCGCTAAGGCTCCCACTGGCCTTGAGAGAATCCTTGTACTCCAGCTCTCCTCCCTTCCTTTTCCACCCTCCAGGCTAGCACAACTCCTTGTCATCTCTCAGAACCACCAGCAGGTTCCTCCCCCTTCACCTGCTGCCAGGCAATCCCCACCTCCCCACCCCCACTCGGTTTGCCCAAATCCACTTCCTCCTTCAAGGTCAGACTAAATGCCAGCTCCTTGAAGGGACCTTTTCAGATCCTCCTGCCCCCTGCTCTGCTTCTCATATGTCCTCATCACGGAATTTAGGGTCTTTGTAGGTTTAACCCACTGAAAGCCCTCTGAGGATAAGTACCATGCTGACTCTTCCGTCTCCTCCTCCACTAGCCCCACTATCTACCTCCAGAGCCTTGAGCCCATTGCTCCACACACTGCAATGCCTCTTTCTTCCACTGACCTAGCATCCTACCATCATTCAGATCATTCTATCTTGCAACAAGCATGGAGGCAAGACGTCCCTATGATCATGACTTATAAATCCGTGTATATCTATGTGGCATACATTTTACATATGCTCTCTTGTAGGCTCAGCACGGTAGGTGCTAAATTCATGCCTGCTGTCTCCTGACACCCCCTGGAAACCCTTGGTCAGAAGTGTGGGGGTGGGCACTACACATAGGGGCTTCTGGTTGTAAGGTCAACAACTCTGTCTGAAAATCAATGGTCTTTTCAAAAAGTTGGAACATGTTTTGGAAATTTTAAAAAAATATCCAGGTCTGAAATCTATAAAAAGGGGCCAAGCATGGTTACAACTGGGTACACTTAGTGAGGATGAAGAAACCCAGAACAGAAGGTACTTTGAAGTGTCAGGTCCCATGAACTTGTGATCACATGCAGGCCCCAAGAAAGCCACTGTGGAGCCCCAGCCTTTGATGACACCATAGAAAGGGTACACTCCTAATAACTGGAGGAGGGCTGTTTGTTCTAGTTCCTGTTGATCATTCCAGATACAATTATGGGAGAGCTGTGACACTAATTGATGGTTTGGACTTTAAAAAATTTCATCTTAAATAATGTAAGATTTTCGCACCCAACCTGCCATGACCTCTCACCCACTCCTCACTTCTCCCCTCTTCTGTCACACATTGTCTCGCTGACCGCCATCCTCCCAGACGCCTCATCTCAGACGTCCAACAAGTAAACAAAGGCAGACTGCCTGTACCAACCCTGCCGACCTGTGTACACAAGCCTAATGGGACAAATCTTGATGAATACTACGTTTTGCACTTTCTAGCTTTTCTTTCCAATGCTTCGTGATTCCTGGCTGGCAGACTGGGGCAAGGCCAGCACTCTGAGGGCTAGCCTAGTGCCACTGAGTGTGCTGGTCATGCTGGCCAGCCAGGACACAAAGAGCTTGTGCCTGGACCCAAAGGAGTACACTGCTTCCTTCACAGAGAAGGCCTCCTAATACAAAAGTCAGTTGGGTCAAGTGCTGAGCACAGTAGTGGGGGTGGCAGGGTCCCTTATTTACATTGTGTGAGTAGGTAACAAACAGGCATTTGACCAGCAGCCTTGCCATAGGCTACTCTGAGGGCCAGAGGCTGTCCCTCCCTTCCTGGGTTTAACAGCATCTCCAAAGAAGAGCATGGCAATAGTTCCCATCTCCCCTAGAGAAGGGCTAATGCCTCACTGAGACAGCTGGGCACCTGTAACAATCAGACCTCAGGGGTATGCAGAGCAGCTGAAGACTCCAAGTTTCTCCTCCGCTCCGGTCCAGGCACAGGACCAGCCCCTGCCCACAGCTGTACCCCCACGTGCTGCTCCTCCCACTATAGTAGGCTGTTCCCCCAAGGCCAAGGATGCCCCCCGCGCACCTACTTTGGACTTCAGTCCTGAACAGCTCCTCCCTGCTTTTCCAGAATTATCAGGATTTACCACAGAATCATTCCCATTGGCCTACACACTATCCTCCAGCTGGCCCATCCTGGTCCACTGTGGTACATATGAAATCAAGAGAGGCTTCTCATTTAGGGTCCTGGAACATTTTTGACAATCTTGTCAACTCTCTTCAGAAGATCCCTCACACTCGCAAGTTGTGCCCCAGTCCTAGAGGACTCCTGTACTGAAGGTACATACCCCTAATCCAGGCAATGGGGGGCTCAGGCTGATGCAGGGGGCTGGAATCACGGGCTCAGATAAGGTGGCTGTGCCACGGGGCCAACAGAGGCAGAAAATGCCAGGCTCTCTTTCTCCCCACATCTGATTCTGTTTAATAGCCTCCTATGTAATCAAATCACTGTCGAATGAGCACGACTCAGTCCCCCGCCCCTTTCCCACCAAAGCCACCACAGTGCCTGGGTAACCAGAAGACGAGACAAAGGCTTCTCACAGAGCACCCATCCCTATGCCCTCTCCTCTTGGCCAAAAATGATAGGATCTCCTGCTACTGAATGCCCAGGCTAGGGCCCTCAAGCGGAATCAGCAGTCCCTAGCACCAGCCAGAGTCAGCTTTTATTTTTTGTCCCGTCCTACTGGCTTGGAAACACCAAGCAAGTCTGCTATACGCAATAATCTTCATTTTTCAGAAATATGTCTGACTTGGAAATTTTAAATCATAAAGCAGACTCATGTAGCCATTAGGGCCAGGAACTTACAAGATTTCCAAGAACTCTGATAGTCTGTCAGTGTCCATGTCACTCCTGACAGTGGGCTCCTGGGAGCAGAGCTGGAACCCCAGCTGGGCTATAGCACACAGGCGTGGCACATGCGTCGGGGTGACGTGTGCAGAACAGAAGCCAGAGAAGCAGCCCAAGTCTGGGTTCTTTTGCTTCCTGGAGTCTCTTTCATCTGCAGATCTGAAGGAGCCCACACAAATCACCCACTTTTGTGATTTACCATGGCAGCCAGATCACTCAGAAATTTCTGCCTGGGACTGTTTGGGCAGTGCTGGACCCAAGAGATGGCCCACAGAACCAGATTTCAGGAGACACCATAACTGACTGCTTTCTAACTAGCACAAGACTTTCCAGAGGTCAAGTGGGGGCTTATAGGAAAGCATTCGCGTTTGGCCACTCTACTCTGATCAAATGTCCTGTGACAGAAAATATGCTACGTATCATCTCATGCCAGGAGGCTGCACCTATAGGCTCATCCATTTACGCCTTTCTTCATCCCACCCATCCTTACTGAGTGGCCAGCATGGAGCAGGCATTGTGTGGGACACATGAGACCCAGCCTGTGACCTCAAGCAGCCACTCAGCTGTTAACAGGGAGATCCAGAGAAGTACTGATGAAGACATCACCCAGCAAGCCTCCAGTGGACACGCAGGGGAAGGGAAGAACAGACTTTGGCTGAGCTGGTGGGGAGGATGTCACAGAGGATCCCGCATTTTAGATGGGCCTCAGGCAATAGCAAAGCAAAAAAGGGGCTTCCAGATACAGAAGCACGTGCCATGGAAAGGTTTGGCTTGTTAACAGCTGGGAGTGGGGAGCATAGAAGGAATTAGCGGGGAAGCAACTAAGAAACAAGGCAGAAGTTCAAATGGGCCAAGGTTTGGTAGAGGACTTTGAACATAAGACTAAGAAAATTCTCATTTTTTGTTGTTGTTGCTGTTTTCTCATTTGTTTCTTTTTGTTTTTTTTCCCTCAGGCAACAGGTGGCTGTACCAGAGTTTTGTTGTGTTAGATGAGCAGAGAGGGTCTGAGTGTGGGAAGGGGAGAGGGGAGATTCAGCAGTCCAGGGAAAGGAAGGGCAGGAGAGGTCTGGATGACAGGGATGGCTGGCGAAGCTCTGGGCCTGTAGGCATTTACCAGGGGAGAAGGGGACCAGGAGAGCACCCCGAGAAATTGTGACATCGAAGGCACGGGCTGAGCCCACAAGGTCTGGAGCAACGTTCTAGCTAAGGAGAAGAATATTTGGTCTCAAGTATTATTTGGCATTAAAATGAGTCACTTAAAATAGATGTGGTCACTGACAAACTGTAAAGACTACTAAATGTTCTTTCTAGGAAATGGAAGGTGTCCTTCAAAAAGATTGTTAGTACTCTGTCAAGAGCCCGTATTCCTACCAGGGGCCCTGGGACAGGGAATGCCATCCCAGGAGGCTGGTGGCACCAATGTCAGTGTCCACTGTGCAGCAACTCTGCACTGGAGGAGTAGAAGGGCGCCGGAATACTCTCCTCTTCCTCCAAACCCAACTACCCTTGACTTCTTCCAAGTCCAGGTGGTCAGGAATATAAATTAGCCATTTTTGAGGTTAGAACCAAGATCAAAATGCAGATCTGGGAACAAAGTGTGGCTATTTGGGGAAAAGCCCACAACCAAGGCAGCTAACCAGGCCTCGGGTACATGCTGGACAAAGACAGATGGACAAAGAGGAAGAGGGAGTCTTAGCAAACTGGGAGTGCTCTTTATTCCTGCAAGAGCCAGTACTTTCGAGAAAGCCCTTCTTCTTCAGTTTCCCTCCTTGGAGCAAGAGAATTCATTGGAGAAGTCCAGTGGCTTCCCCTGGGAGTACCAGAGGGAAAGACCAGGAAAGTGGGCTTATCTTACTTCAATTAGGACCTCTCTTTTAAAAGCCTAGGATGGCACAGTCACCTCCAAGTCAAAAGTACAATCCAGAGTGTACAAGGTCAATGTCAGATGGTGGGTTTTCCCTTGGGGAGCAGAGAGAATTCACTCAATGGCCTCCTCGTACTATTACCTAGAATCTATGCTCAGAATAGCTCTTCCCACGCAGGGGGCAGCCAGCTCCCCAGCTCTGGGTTTCCTGCCTGTGCCTCTCCACCTCAGCCCTCCCTGCTTATGGAGGCGGGATGACCTGACCTGCCGAGTCCGCCAATGACTTCTCCCTCAAGGTGTGTGCTCTTGGGAGGCTCCATGTCTCTGGCGGGTCCTTGAATACAGAAGTCTCCATGGTCAGGTTTCCTGACTTCTTTTAGCCCATCCTCCTCACAGTGCCTTATTCTCCATCAGGAAGAATTTTCTCCAACTTGGCTTTCTGTATCTGAATGCCAGAACAGCTGCAATCCATCTCTCCTGACAGACGCTGGTGAGCCCCTCACTGTGGATAACACTGTCCCAAGGGGCCCTAAACAGACTCCTCACAGAGCCAAAGGCTTTCCTGAGATGAGACCCATGGGCTAGGGTTTCCATGCGGCCATCTCCTGGAAGAGTCTCCCCTTGGCAGCCTCTACAACCTTGCTCCTCAGTCTGACTGCTGATGAGAGAGGAGGGGGTCTCAGCAGCTTCTTGCTGAAACCCTACGCCCCTGGGCTTGCTTTGTCAACCCAGAAGAGAAAAACAAGGACAAGTCGGGAAGCATTTTAAGAAGGGCTTGGTTTCTTGGTGAACGGATTCTCTCCCCCTCCTCAACATAAAATCTGCCTATCCTGGCTTTGGTGAATGCAGAGACCTCATGCACATAGATGCTCCTACTGCTGTTTGCTGTTTCATGTTATAGAAATAGCTTGCTGGGCAAAACAACAAAGCAGCACAATTTCTAGCGGAAATCACTCATTTTAAAACTCTGATTAATCAGTACTGATTAAAAATTAGCTACTCATTTCCCTCCTGATATCACCAGTCTGATCACACGCCACCAAACCCTCTTCCCCGGTCTGATAGCAGCGGTTTACTGTGCAGAAGGGCACATGAGCCCTTGGGTGCACTGGCCTGCTAGTGGGTGCACGTTCGCACACGGACACACACGCACTCTCACGCACACATGCCATGGGCAAGTGTGCCTTCTCTTCAGCCCAGAGCAAGCTCTGAAACATTTCGGAGCTTAACCACGAGGCAAGGGAAGACACGGCAAGAGGATCTGGAAACGTTCCGTGGGTGGGTTCCGTGTTGTCTCTCTCAAGTCCTTTTAATGTTCTTACTGGACAACCTTTTTCATCAATCCAGACAAAGATAGTTCAGAGAAGTAAAGGTGACAGGGAAGCAAACCAAAAATCTCAAAAGGAAATTAAGATGGATTTGGAAAAGGAGGAGATGTTTATGTATGTAGATATGGACAAGTCACAGTAAGTTAACATCTGGCCATGCATAAGGTGCCAAATTTGACCCCACTTCAATCACCCCAAGTGATCACTTACAAGTGTCCTTTCTTTTTGGTCCACAAAGATCTGATAAAGATTGCATAAAAATTAATTCAAATTAAAGAAAGGAACAGCTTCGGGTTAAAATTCCAAGGAAATTCAGAGTATGCGAAACCATCCTCTCATAATCCGACTCTCAGTAAAACCAGTGTTTTAGGCCCAAAATGCCTTATAGATGAACCAACAACCGGGTCCCCAGATTCTGTCACTTACACAAACTGAGAGTTTGGGAGCTTTGCTAGCAAAGAAGCCAAGGGTCCAATGTCCCCCAGCTCAGCCCAGATTTGCTGCTCCGTCTACAGTTTTAGAACGAGGGGACATCGAGACTTGATGATGATGGTGGTGGTGGTCACAGTAACAGTACGGACGTGTCCGCAGCATGTCACTGCGTGGTGGCACTCTTCTAAGCATGGCACAGATAGTGATTCCTCACCCCTCCCACCTGCCTTGTGAAACAGGGCTGGTAGTGTCCTCGCTTTACAGGGGAGGAAAACGCAGCACAGAGCCAGAAGTAACCCACTCGCATCAGCAAGTGGGGAGTATGGGTTTGGATCCAGAGCTGGATGCACTCTTCGGCACCGTTCTGCCAGCCCTGGGGCAGGGTCTGCTCCCTCCCGAAAGCGACACGATATGCTGACTAGTCCAACAGCGTTTAACAATTTCATGTCTTGTTTTGTCTTAAACTCAAGTGACATTTCTCTAAGTCAAATAAACGGTAAGAGCTCTCCAACCGGTAGAACTTTCCATAAAGGGTGAAAAAGAAGCTGTAGACCAAGGACAGATAGAACCAAGGTCTTTCTCCTGGAAACCTAAAAGTCAAATCGAGGCTGAATTCTTTCTGATGGGTTCTGTTAAAGCAGTTTCTCTAGTGCTCGAGCACCGAGGCCAGTTTCCCTGAGACAGCATGATGAGCTCTTCTAGAGACAGAAAACCCGCTTTAAGCCCATCTCCATTCTACAAATTCCCAATTCTGGCCCCCCCTTCTTTTTCTCAGAATTCTTTTCATGAGGTTTTACTCTGTAGTTTTGTTTTCCCATATGTACTCAGATGCTCTAATCAGATTTGAACGTTCTCAGGTGATAACCTAGTTATTGGCCAGAACAGTTCAGCGTCCCTCAGTAACACAAGACGAACAGGAGGCCTGTGCTTCCCTGGGGTGATTCGGCAACAGCCTTTGAGAAGTGGGTTCAGAGACTCACCTTAGGTTTAAATGCGATGACTTTCAAAACCATCTCGACGGTGAACACCCCCGTGAAGACCATGTTCAGGATGTCCATGGCGTCGTTGAACATCTTGGACTGCTCGTAGTGCTGTGGGCGAAGGCAGAGGCATGGTTCTCAGGGGCCTGGCCCAGCCGGCCTCATGAAAGGAGGCTCCCCAGCCCCCTGCTGCCCGCAGGCATCCACCCTCTGCTTGGACATGGAGGCAACCTCCACTGGTTCCAACGGCACATGGTCAACTCACCACAAAGCACAGGGGGGCCTTGACGAATGAGGATGATTGGAAGATGAAGGGGAAAGACATCCATTTCCTCTGCTCAGGATGAAGGGATTCCCACCCTTCCTCCCAGCAGGGGTTCTGTTCAGGGCCTTGACCCACGCACAAGGCAGAACCCACCCAAATGCCTTTGACTAAAGACAGGATTTGGTTGGGGATAAATCTGATGCCATTTAGGTCCACTTTGTTCAATAGAAGGCAGTAACATCTTGACCTCATACTTTCTCCTGCTCATTCATAAAGACTTAATTTGAAAAACATGCCAGAGACTGTATCTCTGGTGGCTTTTAGATCCATTTTCCAGACAGCACTGGGAGCTGGTTTGATTTACTTAAGTTCTTAAAGTCAGTGCAGGAAGTGGATCTGGACCTTGGCCTTTGCTTCTGTCCTAGGGCAGTATCAACTTCACAGCATAACTGCTGGAAATGCTCACTGTTAATATCAAATTGGCCAACTAAAAGGAGTCACATCCCTTGGCCCCAGGGTGGCGAGAGGTAGCTATAATACAGGCTAAACTCTTCTCCACGAGCTGGAAGATTCTCCACCACCATCCTAACCATTCTAAGAGCTCCCTGCAGACAGGGACATGGCTTATGCTTTGTTTTTCAACAATGGGTGTTCACTCTGGGTTGGACCCAGCGCCAAGTGCCTGGGGTGAGTCATCCAGCGCAAACCTGGCCTCAGACTAGGTATGAGAGATTTCCCATTTTGTCAGTGAAGAAAGCAAGGCTCAGGGGACTTAAACTGCCTTGCCAAGATGGCCCAGCTGGTAAGGAGTAAAGGCAGGATTGCCACGCCTTTCTGCCCTACTCCACACAGACCCAGCTTTAGTCCTTAAATGCTCCCTGGCTTCAGGGGCCCACAGGAAGTGCTGATAGAATTGAATGCCAGACTCGGGCTCCACGGGAATGTCACCTATGGTCGTGCGGTACAGACAGTCTCTTAAAACAAAAGAGCCATCTTAAATGCCTACCGTGAGAACCGTTAGCCAGAAGGGGGCTCTGGCCAGACTACAGCCCAGACTCATCAGAAAATCAAACCCACTCTCATGTGAGGGGGCGGCACTCGGCCCTCAGAACTGGGGGCAGGGGGCTGCGCAGAAGGCCCAGACGTGACCCCCGCGGCTGTCCCCATTTTTACCTGCATGGCCAAGCAGAGTGTGTTGAGCATGATGAGGACAAACATCATGTATTCGAAAGGCGAGGAGTTCACCACGTACCAGAACTTGTACTGGTAGGGGTTTTTGGGGATGTATCTCCGCAAGGGACGTGCCTTCAAGGCGTATTCGACACACTGACGCTGCAACGGGCAGAAAAGAGCAAGGAGGGGTCCTGAGCACATCCACGGGAGGAGGATGCCGGTCTCAGCTGCTCGGCGAGGGCGGACACACTCCCATCGCAAGGGACTGTGGACCGGGGAGAACCATGACAGCACCCCCCGCGGGCACCACCCTGTGTCACTGGCCACAGGCCCCTAGCTCGGCACCTCCTCGGTTCCTCACAGCAACCTGGGGGGTGGGTAAGAGGAGCACCCGGTGTGCCTCCATTTTCCTTATTAAAACAGATGTCCAGACTGGGAAGTGTCTTGCCTGAGGCCTTGCAGGCAGAAGCAGAGGAGTGAGGCCTGACTCCGGCCTCTCCCCTGCCTTTCCTCTACACCAGCATTGTATTGTGCCTGCAGTTCTGCCCAGGGCCACCTCGAGGAAAGGAAGCCAGTGAACAAGAGGCAAAAAAACCCCTCCAGAGCCCAAGGGGCTGGGCTCATTCTCTAAGACTCGATCCACAAGACACACGTCTTGGGAGCCAGACTGTAGTAACCACACGTGTCTAATGGTGAACCAGCTGTGTGTCTCCCTGGGACCTTCTGAGACTTGGAACTTGTGGTAGCAATGATGGCCAGAGCACTATCCTTCCCACTCAGTCTGGGGCTGAGGCTGTTCCGCCCTTTGCAGGCCAGCGGGAGCCTCCAGCTCCTTCAGCTCAGCCAATGGCCTCACTTGCTCCTAGACCCAGACCTACTCCCGGTTGCCTGCCTTGATCCTGGCTTCTGTCTTTAGATAGCCTCCCTCTGTTCAGGATCTAGCCCTGCTGTGACCTCACATACTGTGTCCAGGAACCCCCAGTTCGAACCTGTTCTGGACCTCAAGAGGTCCAGCTTTGGCTCTGTTCTCTGGCTGGCCTGGACCTTGTCCTCAGATTCTTCCAGGGGCTGGGAGGTAGGGGGAGAGTGGCTGATGAAGAGCCGAGCCAGGCTTCCCGCTGACCATCACTGATGGGATCTGAAGGGGTGCCCTGACAAATAAAAGCAACCCCTTCCTACGAACCCAGCTGGCCCTGTCCTTACCACCCCAGTGGGCACAGCTGTAGCTCAAGACTGCCTCACCGCCTCACCACAGCCACTTCCCCACAGGAAGCCCGGGCTGGCAGATGATCCCCACTCCTCATGTCATCATCAAACAGAGGTACTACCGAACCAGGGCCTGGGGGAAGTCCCAGAGCAGACTCTCCATCTTTTAGGGCTGGAAGGGACCTCTAACAGTAACTCTGGGGTGCCCTCAATCAAGAGAGAGGGAAGCAAGCCTAGAGACGAGCAGTTCTCCTGACCCCCCTCACATCTTCATGCAATCAGAGCCAAAGGCCCTGCTGCTGTTAGACTAATTCGAACAAGACAGCAGATACCGAGAGTGACCCCAGTACAATCTTGGGCCCACGTTTAATGTTAGTAACTCTTCCTGCAGTGGGATAGGTTATTTCTTCCCGAGTCAATGGTTCTCAAGCAGGGGACATTGGGCAATGTCTGGAGAGGTCCTTCAGTTGTCAAAACCTGGGGTGGTGGGTTGTGACTGAAATTGAGGGGGTAGGGGGCAAGGGATTCTACTAAACATCCTAGAAAACCACAACAGAGAACTATCTGGCCTAAAATGTCAGTAGTGCGGAGGTTGAGGAGATCAGACACGATCCCCTGTAGGACTGTGGGAGGGGCAGTAGGTACTTCCTGATTCTGAGCTATCACTAACGGGATACACCCGCAGAAGGTGGCCTAAGCGTTCTCTGATTTCTCATCTGCAGGGTCCGGTAGATTTCACAATGACAGGGTCTGGTCTGTATCTGGAAAGCTCACTCTTCCCAGCAAGGACTCAAATCGGCTGAGAGGGTGCTGTGAACAGGATCTGAGCCCCAGGACAGAGAGCGGGCGCACGCCCTTCTCTGGGCATGGAGGAAGCTGGCCAAAGACAAGCCGCTTCTCTCTTGCTCAAGGGACAGAAGCCCAAACAGTGTGTGACTTTAACCTGATTTTTGTCCAGCTCACAGTTCTTATACTCTTTCTCTCCCTGCTCCTGAAATGTGACGATGACGAAGCCCACAAAGATGTTCATCATGAAGAAAGCCACGATGATGATGTAGATGATGAAGAAGATGGAGATCTCCACGCGGTAGTTGTAGACGGGGCCGACATTCTCTCCGTTCGAGTCGATGGCTTTATACAGCAACCTGGAGAACAGAAGGACCCGTTGAGCCCTCCCCCCCACTCAGCCCAAGCGGCCAAACCGTGTGCCTCTTCTGACCCCCTCCGTGGGCCTTGCCTGTCCGACCCTTCCCCAGGAGCCCACCCCAGCCCCTGGATGCACACAGGTCTCCGAGGCACCCTCCTCGGCTGGCATTAGGCCCAGCAGGCTGGGCCCCCAGAGGAGGGAACACCTGAGATACACTTGGTGACTGATGCTCTGAGGGCTGAAAAACACAAGATTTCATGGCAATTCAATAGTGCTCCTTTCTCCTGGCAGGACAGACGAGGGACAGCATGTGTAAGACATTAGTGGAACTGAAAACTGTACGTATGCCAACGAAGAGAATAAGCAAGCAACCCAGGATTTCCAAAGAACTAAGAGAGGAACCCCAAACTGAAATAGACCCAGAAATTAAATATATACCAAGCAGAACTCTCAAGAGGGTGGGGGGGATACTGTAACACCCCAAGTTAAATTCACCCCCACATGGATGTAGACTCCACACCGCCAAGCCACGCACCCCGAGGCACCCTGTGCCAGCCACTTTCCCATCCAGCTGGAAAGGCAGATACTACAGTTGTCCCTGTCATACGGAAGCTCAGAGAGGGATCTAAGTGACCAAAGTCACACACCTCAGGGGCAGAGTCAGGAGACGAGCCCAGCCGCTTTGAGCACCAAGGCCCAGGTCCATGGTCTCCCCTCGGCTTCCACTCTGATTAAGGCACACTGCTGAAAACCCGACTGCAACCAGTGCCTCCACCAGCAGGAAGGGGCTCACTCCTGTGTCTCTGCTCCCAGACCCATTAATTCCCTCATGAACAAACCCCACCCAACAGTCCTTGCATTGCACAGGATTCTTCTGTCAGTAACTCCAACTCTCCCATGCATCAGAGAGTTCCACCAGCCCCGAGAACCAGCCTGTCCACCTTCCGCCATTCCTCTGGGTGTGACAACCTGGCATCCGGACTCCATGTACGTATGTACGTTCAGGTGGCGGGAGCCGGAAGGGACATGGGGATCAGAGCAGAGTAACAAAGGCGCAAGAGACTTTCTTTTCGTATTCTAGCTATTCCCTTCTCGCTGGATTTTTTTTTTCTTTTAAGCTTTACTCATCAAAATCCTAACCATTCTTCAGAACCCTATTCTGCACATCTCTGATTCAACAGATCCTCCTGCCTGGTCAACTGCTTGAGACTCTGACTAGGTTTGGACCTTGAAGGGAGGAGCATGTCCAGACAACTGCTTCTTCCACGGTGCCTGACACAGCACAGTTCACGCGGCCGGTACCAAACACACCTCTTATGAATGAGCGAGCGAGTGGGTCAGAAATAGCATGTTGGCAGCCATCCGTGGCTGGCCCACGTTAGAACTCGGAATGAATGATGGAATGGATGGATGGATGGATGGACGGATGGACGGACGGATGGATGGATGGTTTGGGACACTCTCAGGAGGTTCTCTATACTCACGCAGGCCAGCCCTCAAATGTGGAGACCGTGAACAGCGCCATCATAGCAGAAAGGACGTTGTCGAAGTTGAAATCACTATTTTGCCAGATCCTCTCACGGACCACAGGGTTATCAACATCCCCATCCTTGTAGAGGATGAAAAGCCCCCTAGAGAGGAAAAGAAGTGTGGGTCATCCTGGCTTGACATACGATCAGTCACAGCTGCCCCCAGCCCACATCCCGGCCCCACAGCTGAGCACCATGTGACTTTGTCTTCCTCCTGCTGTGCATTTCTTCTACTCTAAGGTTCCAATAATCATTGAGTACCTACCAGTTTAATGAGCACCCCCAGAAAAACGAGGCGGCCAGCCAGCATATGCCTGATAACACACGAAACCTACCAAATGATAAACACCTCTCATATGCAAGGGCTCTGAGCGTACACTGAATGATCAGAAGCTCCAGGATGGAGCATTCTGGAACCTCTGGGAAACAAGCCCAGGTATCCTCTTAACTGCATTTTGGTTGTCCTCAAATTCCTTCACTTTGTACTAACAATAGTCCCAGTTTTCTTTCTAAAATAATTCTATGATTTCTGGTACACAATATCTGTCCTTGAGTTTCATTTCTGGAAAGAGACCCATGTCTTTATGTCACAGATGGGGAAGCAGAGACTCAGCGAGACAAGAGAAGGGGTCTTCTGCCTGCTGCCATGCCACGCAGCGGCAAGAGGTGATCCCCCTGTCCCCGCCTGTGTGGATGGTGGCCCTGGGGATGCACAACCAGTCATGTGCAGCCGGCACACTCCAACTGCACCTTCTGGTGGACAGAAACCCCAAACACATGCAAGAAGTGTGAGCAGCCTTGCTCCCAGCAAGTGCACCCAGACCTCAGGGGTGCCATCCCCAAAGGATGGGGAAACATGGACTACCCCATGGTCTTACAGCTCTGGGCAGTGGTTTCGTGTCTGTCTTCATGTTCCTCTGGACATCCTGGGATAAGAGATACAGGTGTTTCCCACCTAGTCCCTCCTCTGTCCACTGTTGTGAAGAAAAACATGCCCAAGATGTGGGAGCCGGGAGCGAGGGGTGAAAGGTAGCTGGGAGAACCTGTCAGAAGGGGCGAGCCAGCTCCTGAACACCAGGGAGTTGACCTTCGAGTTCTGGTTTGGGGAAGAATGGCCCATACAACTGGAGGGAGGGGCTCTCTGGGGGCATTTCTTACTTGTTATTTTAGGTTTGGTGCGCACTCCCCCCCCCCCCACTTAGAGACTCCATGGCAAACATCAAAAGCCATTTATCCACCCTTTTGGGGGTGATGAAGGTTTGGAACTAGACTGAGGTCACACTTGTACCACAGTGTGATTGTGCGAAATGCCACTGAATTGGACTGTTTAAAATGATTACTTTTATGATATGTGAATGTCACCTTAATAACTCCCCCGCCACACCCAACTCTCCAGCCATGAGCTGAGCACACAAGCCTCTCTTGCAGTCTATGATGAAAATTTCTGAAATTTTAGCACAAAGGGATTCTTGAAACTTTCTGTTCTTCCTCATTGCCCACTCTGGCGTTCAGGACACTCACCTGCACTCTTCAGGGTTACTTTTGGCTTCATCTGTACAGCGATAGAACTTCCCCTGCATATACAAGAGACAGGCAGTGAGACGCAGGCTCCCCGCCGAGAAATCAACTGGGCTTCCTGCCAGAAGGCACATTCCCCCTACCTTGAACAACTGGACCCCGATGCAGGCGAACATGAACTGGAGAAGGGTAGTGACGATCATGATGTTGCCGATGGTCCGGATGGCCACGAAGACGCACTGGACCACATGCTGGGGAGAGAGAGGCCGGGAGGGAAGGCGGAGGAGGGTTACCCGCTCTGTGCTTTCAGCCTTGGGCTAATCTCACACTGGCCAAGATTTTCCAGGTTCATGTGCATTTTTATATGATTTTCCAACCCTGGGTTCTCTTGCACTCGTTTTTCAGGTCGGTATCTGTGAGGAGTTACCCCTGAGGCATCGTGGCCACCCAGGAGAAGTACCCCTGAGACCAGCCGCCTCCCTGGTCTTCTCCAAAGGGGTTCAGTCTGGGGGTGCCTGGGTGGCTCTGTCGTTAAGCGTCTGCCTTCGGCTCAGGTCATGATCCCAGGGTCCTGGGATTGAGCTCTGCATCAGGCTCCCTGCTCAGCGAGAAGCCTGCTTCTCCCTCTCCCACTCCCCTTGCTTGTGTTCCCTCTCTCACTGTGTCTCTCTCTTCCAAATAAGTAAAATCTTAAAAAAAAAACAAAAAAAAACAAAGTGATTCAGTCTGAAGAAATGCTATGGGGTCTAGCATTACCAGGCACACAGGTCCACAAGGACCCGAGCCCCCCATAAACGGACTCAAGAAAATGCAAAACCTCAGACCTTTTATATGACCTGCATGAGAATAGATTCAAAGACCAAAATAAACCCAAGAAAACATTACTAACAATTTTTAAAAGTGATAAACAGCAATCACATTAAGGAAAATAAATATACAAAGATAAAGAAAGTCATTTGTAAAATACTTTCAGCACTTGCCGGAGGCAGTGTCGCTGGTCAGAGTTGTCCTTTCTAGACATACAACCAGGTGAAAACCCATCAAGCCTCAGTCCAGCTCTGGCCCCAACCAAAGTAGCCCAGCCCAGAGGGCAGATACCCAGACCTTAAGTCCTTTTGCTCTGTTGATCGCCCTGAGCGGCCGCAGGACCCTTAAAACCCTTAGAATCTTCACGACGGAGATAGCGCTGGATCTGAGGAAAGAGCATAGAACAAAGGCCGTGTTTTAAGTCAGATGAGATGCTCTGAAGTTATTTCAGGTGGTTTTCACTGCAGGACCACTGCCCGTGTGGAGCTGAGCTCACCTCTCGCCGTGACATACACACACACGTGCATGCATGCACACGGGTCTTTCTCTGTCCTGTCCACACTCCAAAGCCCTTCCTGAGCCAAGCCCAGGGGCGCTCCCAGAGGCCCTGACTCGGGGATCCAGCAGAGGCACGAGTTAGGAAATCGCTTTGTTCTTTTCACTCCATGTAAACACTAGGTAGTACTTGGCTTTTAGGCTGCAATTTTGGTTGGTGGGGTTTGCTTTCTAAGTTGGGAGACCTGCTCCGTGTGGGGCTTCTCCAGCCTCTGAGGAGTTCACTGTCAGGTGGGAGAGATGCAGTCATCACCTGCTTGGGGGAACGGACGATGGAGGGGATGTGGGACATGCTGCTAGGAGGGCACATCCTGGGGGAGCCTGGGAGGTGGCACCCTGCGGGGAGGGGCAGGTTAGCTAGACTAAGGGGGAAGGGGCTCCAGGCAGAGGGAGCAGAGTTAGGAAGCCCCAGGCCGAAAAATGCAGATGACCGGGCCCCACAGGTGGCCAGAACATGTGTTCAGGAGGCAGCAACAAGGGCTGCAGGGGGAGAGGGCAGGCACACCTGGGAATTTAGGGGGCTGCAAAGATGCTGTGAGAATGTCCCCTTCACCTGCAACTCCTGGCTCCTTCCTCTGGGCAGTCGTGGGAGGTGAGGACTAACACTTCTGAGGGGGATGCAGCCTTCCCATGAACTTGAGCTCAGAGGTTTTAGGTGAACACATGTTCTCATATGGGGTACTGAGGCTAGCACCTGGGACCCCTGGAGCCTCTGCCCAGGACCCCCTGGGTAGAAGAGGCAGGCAGCCTGCCACCGGGGCATCCCTAGGGCCCTAACTTATAGCCTCTGCCCCCTCCTAGCTGAAAATTGTAGAAGCAAAAAGGAAGGGAGATCGAGGGAAACCTTCAGGAGCCAAGCTAAAAGGGTCCCCAGAGGCCCCCTCCCCACTCTGAGAATCTAGGACCCGAGAATCGAAGTCCTAGACGAACCCGAGCTAGAACCTGGCTTCCTTCTCTCCCAGTCGAGACTTCACTGTTGAAAGCCAGGATCCCAGAGAGTAATAAGGCCCGCCTGGCAGGGGGCATGGAGAGGAGAAACAGGAGAAAGGATGAGCTGTCCCAACGCTTTCCAGCGTGCACACAAATCACAGTTTCCTGGGTAACTGAAGGTAATTGTTAAAGTGATGCCTAGCCTTTAGGAATCATGTTAAAATTCCTCACATTAACCATCCTGCCCCAGAGTCTTGTGCCCCCACTCCTGCACCCACCCCAGAGTACTTACTGGATCCCGAATGATACCAGGGACACCCCAACAACCAGCATATCCAGCAGATTGAAATAGTTCCTGCAGAAAGCCCCTTTGTGGAGGAAAGCTCCAAACGTCGCCATCTATAAACAGAACCATGAGTGATTTACAGATAGATATTTTTTTTCTCCCAGAAGAAAAGAAACCTGGGCTCTTTACAAAACCTTGAGGAAAGTAGGACTTTAGTAACAAGCATGCACTAGGAAGCCAGAAATGTCGACCACCAGGGCTGAGCAACAGAGTATTTGTTCAAAAATGGAAAAGGGGCAGCCAATTTCAGATGGGTTTCCAAAGAAGAGAGCAGTCTGACTCCGTGGCAGCGATGACAAGCTGCGTGTGGGAATCCAAAGTGGGCGGGTCCCAAGAGCCTCCCAGAAGCGTGTGCGTGGCCCCGCTCATTAGGACATCATCATCACTGCCCAGATAACTCGGCCGCCCCACAACATGCTGGCTCTGGCCCCTGAGGCCCCAGGACAGCCTCTGTCACCCCAGCATGCCTTCCTAGTGGGGCTAGTGGAAGCACAGGAGCCCGGAGCCCCCAGACTCTCTGTTCAGAGACTTGCACTGTTTTGCTTGCTGCCAGTGGGTGGTCCTCAGTGAGACACCCAGTTTAGACGGCACCGCCAGGTCCAGGGACTCCAGCACATGCAAGGGGTGGCCCGGAAGCCGGCACAGGCCTCTTCCCTGGGCAGTCGCCCTGCCCTGGAGTCCCACGCCACATGCACCTAGAGCCCGCACCACGGGGGCTCCAGACAGGGGCCTACCCACAATGCAAAAGGACTTTAGTGAGGAAATTCCCAGAGTAAAAACAGCAAAAGTACACCAAGTTCACTGCGAATTAAAAAAAAGAAAGAAAGAAAGAAAGAAATGGCGGAGAAGGCTCGGGTGAGTCCGGGATAGAGGGCCAGAGTCGGTAAAAATATTACACTGAACCATATGAAATTGTCAGCACGCCGCCGTTCTTGACCGACAAAAATGGCAATTTCAAACGATTCAACAGAATCGTCACGGAGCCTCCCCAGCATTCCCACGGCCGGCAGGAACTGCCGCTTCCGACGCGAGATGCTTCTTGGCGAGTCTGCGTTCTCTGAATCCTTCTGGGTTGAAGCTTGTTTTCCACCCTCTAACACGTCCTTAAAATGAAGATTAACTTGGAAGACTGAAGTCACGGAGGCAAATATCCAAAGATTTAAAAGCAGGAGTTGTTTTAAATTTCTTTTAAATAATTCTGTATCTCATTTGCCCCCAAGCCCAAGAATAACTATATCCATCTAATCACTAAAAAAATGTGGGAAGTAAAATAAAACCTCAAAGAACCCCGCTAATGGACTAAGGGGAACATGTCCCCCATTCAGTTTGACGAGAAGGCAAATTACAAAAAAAAAAGAAAGAAAGAAAAGAAAAGAAAAAAGGGCAGCTCGGGATCAAGTAGAGGCAGGGTGAGTCTCCTTGACCCACGAGCCCTGGGCATGCATATGTCTGTGCTCCTCACTGTGGTGATGCCATTAGAGTTACTAAACTGTCAAGGTTCTCACTGAGGAGAGAACGGTCAACCACAGTCCCTGGTTTAAAGGCAGAAAAGTGAATGTGAATTTTTAGATTTTTTTTAAACAAAGGTTTAAATAGAGGTTGGTCAGTTTTGTGCTGTTGTTTTCATTAAACACCACCACCAAAATAAAGGAACTCTAAGTTCCCCATTCCCTGGCAAAGTTCAGCAAGGTTTCATTTTATAAAAGGTTTTGTAAAGAGCCCAAGTTCCACAGGAGTCTAACACAAAATACATTTTTTTCCCCATGATGCACACATAAAAACTCAAAATGGTTTAAAGACAATTGTGGTGAAAATCTCCCCGCTTGTCTCCCCACTCTGAGATGACTGCTCTGACAGTTGTCACGGGTCACACTGTCCTGGTACAGCAGTGACCCACACCGCTTAGCAAGTCAGGGGGGTTCTCGGCTGTCTGTTGCGGGTCTCCAGACCTCGGGGGCCGTCACACTCAGTCCACAAACCACATGCGGCAATGGCAACTCTGAGCTCATGCATGGGCGGTACATTTAGGGTACCCTGTCCAAAGGGCGCTCCCTTTCTTTGCATAAATGTAAGCCCATCCATTAAAACAGATATAAAATGTCTTAACACAAAAAGACCCGGGTTATCTTGCAAATACCATTGCAAGAAAATAGTGTGTTACTATTTCAGGCCACTGAAAACAATTCAGTCCAAGAAACGAAGAGAGATACATTCCTCCCTTCGTAGGATAAATGCTTCTCCTCTGACTCTGAGGTCAGGAAAGGTGGCAGAAGGTTCACACAGACTGATGTATCTGTCATCAGATGACAAGTTTCAGAGGATATATTTAAAAAGCAGCAAAATAATTTCCAGTCACTATGATGAAGCCAAAATAGGTCCTACATGCATTGAAAGGTTAAAAAGAAACAGCAAAAACAAGTTGAATGGTTACGGGGGGATAAAATTCTTTAGTTTAAAAAAAAAAAGTGTAGCTTGATCACAGAAGGCAAAAAATAAAAATAGTCAAAAGCACTTCACGCTTCTCTGCCACGTGTCCCACAGGAGCGGGCCCCTGAGACACGTGGCTGTGGAACCTGTTACCTTCAGAACGATCTCAAAGGCAAAAGTGCCAGTGAAGACATAATCTGCGTAACCTAGCATCTGGAAGGTAAACAAAGAATTGCAACTATTATTGCTACGGCTGCTTTGGGGCAGGTGAGGATCAAGGAAAGAGCCATTACCTTTAACAGGATTTCAACGGTAAAGATGGCTGTAAACGCATAGTCAAAGTAACCCAGTATCTGCAAGGTACAACATGGCGGGCATGAGACACAGGCATCCGGACAAGCGGGGACAGCCGCGCGCCCCCGGGCAGAACCCCCACATGCAGGCAGACCCCCGTCCCCCAAGACAGATCCGCTGCTGGGGTGGTGGGGGAGGACAGGGGCAGCCCCTCCTGGCCAGTTACGGGTCAGCTCTGTGATCAGAGAAGAGCATGAGGGGACACTCACCTCCTCTAACCACGCATGCAGACTCGTTTCCCTGTCTCCGGTCATGGACAGACAGAGGCCCATTTCTACAAGTGCTTTATTAACGCAACCTTTGCTCATCAGGGCATGGCCCCGGCCGACTGGCGACACCAAGTAACCTTAAGTGTTATACGTGATGTTGGGTTTTTCACTTCCTTTTTGGCCGAATGGAACAGGCTGTCATCTAGCTAAGCTTCAGGTTGGTGGGGAAATGTAAACGAAGGTGCAAGTGGCATCCAGGGGGGTCAGAAGCTTCCACGTGCCCCTTCCGATTCCAGCCCATGTCATCAGGGAGTCAATGCCTTTCCTTCCCTGGGGTGCAGGGCTGGGAAAGTCCTCAGTGAAGAGTTTGACTTTAAAAGTAAACTCGTGCTTTTGCATCCCGAGTAACTTGCAAAGTACAACTCTTGGCCTCTGCTCCATATCTAACACCATCCTTTCCTGGCAATGGGTTTTTGCTTGGTTTTTACCCAGCTGGGCCCAAGCAAAGAAAAGACTGACCTGGCCTTTGAATTATCAGTCCAGCTTACAAGTCACATCAGATTTCCTGAAAATATCATCTACTCTCCAACTGAGTCCTGCTCAGGGAACCCTTCTGGGGTCCCTGGTTCTTCTCAGAGCCACAGGGGAGGGCAGGTGAGGGAGGATGAGGGGGGCAGTGGCCAGAGTCTGACTGCTTGACAAAGGCTACTCACAGGGAACCTTTTGCCGCAAAGATGGCAGCCAAGATGCTGCCATTTGCAGAGGCCATCTTGGCTGCCATCTTGGCTGTTGCTCTTCTTCACAGCCGTGCCCTCCGGCTTCAAGAACACTGAAGAGATCAGAGCCAGAGGGACTGTGGAGAGACCCCCCCCTCCCCCAACCCAGACCAACTTCCTTCAGGTAACAGAGGAGGATGCCGGGGAAGGGTCAGGCAGCAGCTGCTCAAGCCACGCAGCCAGGAACCTCCATCCTCAGGGAGGGATCTGCGGAGTGCTAGCCGAGAGCCCCGGGGCCTGTGATATGAGTCTGGGCTCCAACCCAGGGGAGTCCTTAATAGCTCCACCATGGTAAAGGCAGGGCCCCCCCTGCAAAGGCCAACTGTCTCAGCTTAAGTTCTCCACAGGGCAGTCATTGTCCCAACTGTTTCTGTTTTGAGATTTCTACATTATGCAGGACACCTTTTGTATACTTGTGTTTCTAGCCAGGCGAAGAAGGTGTTTCCAGCACACTGCAAGCCCCTGGCCCTTCCTCTATCCTAGGTCACAGCAGGACTGTTCATGTTAGAACTACCCATGTAGCCAAGGCAGACACCGTGGCCCCCACACCAGCAATCCAGCTTGGTGCCAGAGGCCAGAGCTCCTGGATTCAAGCTGTTCTTTCCTCATTCATCCCACTTCCACTAATAACTCAGCAAAGGTTAAAACAACAACAACAAAGGCACTGCATGAGTCCACTTACACGGTGGCATCTAAAGTAGCCAAACCCTTAGTTGGAAAGAAGAAGGGAGGCTGTCGGGGGCTGGGGGAATGAGAAATGGGGAGACGTTCAATGGGTGTCAAGTTTCAGTCACGCAAGATGAGTAAGTTCTGGAGAGCTGCTCTACAACTACCGCCTACCGTTAAGAATGCTGGTTCATACACTTAATTTATCAAGGTCTCATGTTAAGATCTCATGTTAAGCATTCTTACCACAGTAAACACTGTAGTAGTTTGCAAGCACTACATGTACACATATGTGCATCTGTTTAAAAAGAATAACATTCTTGGAAAAAGGGCAGGGAAATAAACTCTTGGGGAAGTAATTACAATAAAAAATGAGAACACGAGGTCCCATGTAAATTAACTCCTTGTCAGTCTATGTTCTAGACTAGCTCCTGACCTATACTCTGTCAATAATGGTATTTTTTTTTTTCCCAGCTTCTTCCCCTTGTGATTCATTTCCATGATGGACCTCAAGGACACTGAGGTCTTCGTTCCATTTGAACACTGAGCTAGAGACAGCCTCAGCGTCTCTAACATAAGCCCTGACCTGTGAGTGCAGATTTGGGACGGGTGCAGGGCCTTCCTCTTCGCATCAACACCAACATGTGCCCTAGGAGGGGAGTTCTTCTAAAATCTGCATATCAGAGTGCCCATGTGTTACCAGTCTGATAAACTCGGGTTGCTAGGCTGCAAACCAACAGCCCTGGAAATGAAAACATACAACACAAGGCTTGATGGTCACAATCAAAATCCTGGGAGGCCGATCTGGGGATTTGTCTTAATCCTCAAATCTCTAAAAATCTGATGACCACAGAGAGGTACTAACCAGGCAAGGCAACAGTGCCCATGGCCTCACAAGCCTGTGGGCCTCCCTCTCTTGGGTTTCCTAATAATGGCCTGAAACTGCACTACAGGATCCAAGCCAGGGCAGGCAACAGACTACAGGTCTTCTGAAGCTCTGAAGCATTCTCAATCTTTGGATGTTCTTAGTGCTGAACGAACTGAACTGTTAAGATGGGAGAGCTTAGGCAAGAACTATTTTAGATACAGTTTCCGAGCAGCCCAGAACAGAAAACTTAACTGGCGACTTGTTCTCTTTGTAAAACTGCCTCCTGGCCCCACCAGAGCATGGTTCTTCCTCTCCACCTCACCATGGGGTTCCACACACCATCGGCCCCTAACTTATGTTTCCCCCAGTGATGAGACCAAGTGGTCCCGTGTGGGCTAGACGTCTTCCCACCAACCTTAAATACGAGCTTCTGGGCACACAACATACCTGGTTCCATTTCTCCTTTCTCTCCTGTTGGATGTTTCCAACAGGGCAGAAATCTCAAGATAGGTGTAGATGGGAATTTGGCCAGGGAGGGGGAAAGAGGGACCAAAATGCTGGCAGCAAGGGACCAAGAGAAGGAGAAGCAGGGTTCCCAAATGCACTGAGTTACTGCAGAGTATTTAAGAGGAAAGGTAGGGGACAGGATTCAAACCAGGCTTGTCCTGCTAAGACACAACCCCCCCTGGCATGCAGGCCCTTAATACCAGCTGCCTCCGGGTGAACGAGAGGCCACCTCTAGCCTTCAGCCCTGCCTGAGTGACGGCCCCTGCCAGAGAGACCAGGGCTCGTCCCAGCCGATGACCCGCCCGCCTGCCCCGGCACATGGCTTACAGTGTTCCTGAAGGAGTGGCTGCGGATGGGGTCCTCCGCGGCAAGGGCAGCGCTGCTGAGCATGATGAAGACAAGGATGAGGTTGGTGAAGATGTGGTGGTTGATGAGTTTGTGGCAGCCCACGCGGATCCTGTAGGGAAAGCCGCTGCATGGACACGGCCCTAGGTGGGGCAGGTGCCTTCTGTGTGCTGGGACTACTTGGTAGTGACAGGTCAGACAAAGGACAGCGGTCTGCTGTGCTGTCTGTGACCCAACCTGGCCAACCCCAGTCACCGGACTGTGAGCCCCTGGAAAGTCCCAGAAGGCAGACCCCAAAGGCCCACAGTGCTACGGCTCTGTGTATGGGCTTCCTGGAGACATCAGTCATCAAGTCCTTAAAAGTGGGGATTATTGTCAGGCTGCAAGTGGAAAAACTTGAGGCTTACGCCTTTGAAATTTCTTAAGGTGACGCAGCCAGTAGGGACTGAGGGAAATTCCCAAACCAGTTGGACGGTGACAGTTCCCCCTACCCATGGCTTCCTATCCCCTCCTTAGGAAGGAACCTGAGCACAGAGCTCATTGCAGCAGCTCACAGGGAGAGCAATGGCTGAAACTTCCAGCCAGAAAATAAACAAGTCATGGGGATGAACAATACAGCAAGGGGACGTTCATCAATAACACAGTAATGACGTCATCGTGGTGAGCACCACGTAATGTATAGACTTGCCAAATCACTACGTTGTATGCCCGAAACCAACACGATACTGTATGTCAACTATACTTCGGCTAAAAATAAAAATTAAAATCTTATACTGCAGCCTGGCTGTATGAAAAGGACTAGTAGATGGGCTTGGTAAAATCTCCTGTTTTGCGGAGGTTCTAAGTGCTTTTTGTTTGTTTGTTTTGTTTTAAGATTTCATTTAGTTATTTGTCCGAGAGACAGAGGGAGAGAACACAAGCAAGGAGAGCAGCAGGCAGAGGGAGAGAGAGAAGCAGGCTCCCCACTGAGCAGAGAGCCCAATGCGGGACTCGATCCCAGGACCCTAGGATCATGACCTGAGCCGAAGGCAGATGCTTAACTGACTGAGCCACCGAGGCGCCCCTTTTGTTTTTGTTTTTAAACTTTGGACCTGACCCCCAAGCACACCTGAGAATGTGCAGCAAAAGTCGTGTCACGCAGGAATCGTACAGGGATCTCACGCACCACGTGACAGCATCTTCAGGGTCCTGCCGTCCCTGACATCCCATGGGCTAGTTAGTGCCAGACTACCCTTGACCTCAACTTTTCAATTTAGAATTTAAAGATGTTGTTTTTAGCCTGTAGAATACATGTATGTTTTACCTTGAAAATATTTTCCTTTTTCACCTTCTCAACTTTATGAGAAACCTCCCTTTGGGAGCTGCTTCGTGCAGGGATACGCCCTGCGGCAGGGCAGGGGGTGGGGGTGCGGGGAGCTTGCAAACTGTTAGCAGATGAGTCTGCGGAACACATCCCAAGACAGTAAGTGCAGGAGTGTTCACGGCTTTGGGGGGTGGGGGGTGGAAATCAATCCATTCCTTCAATATATGTAGATCCAGTGAGCTGTGGGTTTCAGTAATATCAACCGAATACATTTTTTTTTTTTTTTAAAGAGACATCCAGGGGCGCCTGGGTGGCTCAGCCAGTTAAGCATCTGTCTTTGGCTCAGGCAAAATCCCGGGATCCTGGGATCGAGCCCCATGTCAGGCTCCCTGCTCAGCGTAGAGTCTACTTCTCCCTTTCCCTCTCCCCCCTGCTCATGCTCTAAGTAAACAAAATCTTTAAAAAAAAAAAAAAAAATAGACACCCAAACTCTCAACAGTGATGAATTATAAAAACTACCATCAAATCCTCCAGTTACTAAGGACGGCAGCCTCACTTCCCACCTGTGTCTCCTCGGGGACTGTGAAATTCATAGAGTTCTTCTCTGACAGCCAAGAACTGCTTCTATAATTCTAGAAACTTTTCCAGGAGCCATTCATTCCCCCCGGTATGCCATCTGTCTCCGATGACTTAAAACCTAGAAACCAGCTAGTAAATAAATGTCATTCTCTTGTGGTCCTTGTAAGGACTGTGCTCCTGGTGAGCACCTTGCCATTTAAACACAAGAAATGCTATTTTAACCAGGATATCGTCGAGCTGAATTGAATAGCTACTACCTATAAATATAAAAATATCATTGAGCAATATCCCTTTATTGCCATAGAACTCAACAGGGACCAGTGATTTGCTGAACTGGATTACAGGATGAAGATTCTGCGGGGAACTTGGCCACGAGATTCTCATCCCCAAGGAATCTCAACAGAAGGACCCACTCATGAAGGAAGGGTCCTCTGGATTGGAAAACACTTCACGGGTGACAACCCATGGACACCTGAGCCGTGGGCTCTGGCCAGCACAGGGGCCAAAGGGGAGGAGAATCTGGAAGGGCGCTTGTCCCAGGGGCTGGTCATGCTCCTAAAAGCACCTCCATCCAGGAACAGGACAGCCAGGAAGAGACAAAGGCAAGGCTGGAGGAAGACAGGGGTCAGAGACGACCCAGGGACTCCAACACATAGGCACAAAAGGGGGATGGGAACCACCCTCTTACAGCCCATCTCCAGCAAACCTCCCCCCAACCCCCAAGCAATCTGCAGGGTAACAGGGAGACACAGCAGCAATGAAATTAGAAACTGGGTATTTACGGGTTGGTCTTGCTCAGAATGAAGAACGCACTCCCTTCAGGAATGGGGGCGATTTTCTCTTTCATGTTCAACTCTGAGATTCTGCGAGGACGGGGGCCAGCAGGGACCTCAGGTTCATCCTCCTCCTCCTCCTCTTCCTCTTCCCCTACTTTAAATGAGACACCTTTTGTACAGGCATGAAATAATGATCGCATTTGGGGCTGAATGACTGTTTGCCATTTCACACGGAGAGTAAACATTCACATCTATCAGCTTACATTGAATCAAAACCCTTCTGAATACGGACTGAGTGCATTGGGGGTGCCGAGAAGTGTGCCTGTCTGTGACTGAGTGCGGTTCTGGGAAGGAGGTTCCTAGCAGTTCCAGGTCTGAGCGCAGGCAGAAGGTAATCTGCCGTGGGACTGTCACTGCCAACCCGCCAGCCCTCACTGTTTCCCCAGTAGCCTGGCTCCACTTCAGGCTGAAAAACTGTGTGTGAGACTTCAAGCCACACAGTACCATCACCCGCCACACCCCATCCCCTGCAGTCCCTGCTACTTCGCCAATAAGAGCACCAGCCGATGTGAAAGGGTCAGGTGAGCAGTGCTAATGGTAGGAATGGCTGGTTGCCCCCTAGAGAGATTTCCCAGAAGAGGGGCTTGCCTGGATCCACTCTCATTTTCTCTCCCCACCTAGAACTGGGGTTACATAAGCTACCTGCGTGACCAAAAAAAAAAAAAAAACAAGGCTAACTGTTCCGCAAGGGGCCTGGACCCATGGTCTCAGTAGCCTCCCCGCCCACCAGCACGCCAGCTGGCCTGGCCAGCCACAGACTGAGCCCCTGATCACGGCATGGTAGCAAAGCCACATCACCCATGAATGAGAGCCTGTCACTGGCCTCTGCAACCGTACCTGGCACATCACAAGGTGGGTAGGGGTCCTTGTCTTCATCCTCTTCTCGATAGTCATCAATTGTAACCTAGGGGATGACAGAGAGGTCTTGGGAGGAGGGGAGACTCTGACTTCAATGCACTGCAGAGGACCCAGGTGAAGACTCAGCCCTGCCGTTCAGCACAGAGAGAGACGCTCTCTCCAATGTGCACACGGACAGGTGTCCCCAGGGATGACTCTACTTCAGACAGAGCTCTGAGGGCAGAGGAGGAGAAAACGAGTATAACCCCTACCCAGCCGTGGCTGGCAGCACCATCCACGCCCCCCTCTACCCAGCACTGTCCTGCACACTGCATGGTAACCGCACAGCAGATTCCTGTCTCCCTGCTAGGATGCGAGCTCCATGCACGCAGGGACCTCGTTGGTCTTCTTCGTTGCTGAGCTCCAGTATCTGCCACACAGTAACTGCTCAAGAACAAGTAACCACTTATGGAACAAACAAATGAATGAAAAATCCAGAGCTGTCACGAGTGGGATGAAATTTGACACTATAGCCCCGAGCACCCAGATCCCCGATCCCAAGATTCCCCCTGGAGGCAGACATCTATTAACAATCCTCAATTTTAACCTCCAATGAGAAGATACTGACAAGGTCAGGTCTGATGACACAATTCCAATAAAGAAAAAAAATAAGTGGTCCCCCCAGTCAAATACTTATCATGCTAGTTATCATCTGATGAAACACTGATTAATCACCAGCGAGCTGCCTAAATTCACTCAGAATTTCTAATTTCTAAATTCACTCACTTCCCAGGGGGCTGGGAAGCCAGTGTCTATAATGGTGTGCCACACTCTCACCCACCAGAACATCACACAGGATACTTCTCATGGTATAAATGGTACATTTACGATGAGATCAACAGATTCATTTTGAAACAAAAAGCAGAGAACTGTTGCGGGATGTATACCTTATTATCACTGTTGGCTATCTGGTTGACTTCTGGTTTGTTGTTCTTTTTATTCTCCAGGCTCTCTTTTCTACAGAGAAAAGAACACGAGAAACCGAATAACCGTATTGCTATGCACAAAAATGTTAATCCAGATTCGGAATCCACAGTGGCCTGATGAAGGACAGAATTTAACCGCAAACAACTAACAGCAAGAACATAGCACAACCCACACTCAGAGCTTCCCGTTCCCCTCGGTGCACTGGGTTCATTACACAGATCACCTTATTAAAATTCTCCGGTGAGAGCTCATCAGCACCAAACGCATCATTTATTTTATGACACCAAAATTAACCACAGGGATTCTTTAAGCATGGGACCACGTGACTCCTACTCTTAGCTCTAAGGGAAGGAGAGCCCGGGTTCTGCCCAAGATTTCATCCTCGGGTGAAAATACGATTACCTGGCAATCTTTTTCCTTTCCTTCTCTTCGGCTTCCTCCTTCTGGGCAGTATTCAAACTTTCAGCGTCAGCCAGATTGTCTACAGCAATGGCCAAGAAGACGTTCAGTAGGATATCTAGTTTGAACATATTAAGGGAACAACACAATTTCTAAATGCAACTACTGGTGGTCGACGATGGCAACGTCACACCCCTCTGTGCTCTGGAAGACTGGTAACAGGTGACTGTCCCCTGAGCGCTGTATTCATTTGGTAAGACCAGAAGGCCAGAGCCTGCTTAAAAAAATGAAACCAAACCAACAAAACAAAACACCCCAGAAACTTGTAGAAGACAGTCTGGAAAGAATCAAAATTAAGATCCACCTAAAATGCATGAATACCTACAAACTTCAACATTTCCTTTTATAGGCACGTGTGTGTGTGTGCTTGCACCAACACGTGGGTCTGTACACAGATGTATTCCCAGCTATCATACACACTGCATGAAACAATCCATTCCATGAACATGGTGTTGTTATGTGTTTTGCATTTTGCTTTGTGCATTTTGTTTCTTTTAAAACACACATGTACCTATAACATATATATCCAGCACATGCTTTCCCAAATAGACCCTTTTAAAGGCTACACGTTATTCAAGATGATGACTGCACAAAGCAGTCTGAGTCTTTCTCATCTGAAATGGTCTTGAGAGTCTGCGGATACTCATTCATTCATTCCCCCCACAAACGCTGATGTACTGCCAGATGGTGCCCACCTGTTCTTTTGAATGGCCCCACTATTGCTATATCTTTGACTGTGGTGGTTGCATTTTATTTTTTCAGATCCTAAAAAGTCAGGTGACTGAACAAGCTATCAGGTTTTTGGCTCTTACTATATAATGTTATATGTGTGGTTTCCTGTGATAGAAAAAAAAAAGTAATTCTGAACAAGTTTCCTAAATCTCCTGGAAGATGCCTGTTTCCTATTCACCAGTAGTTAAGTATATTTTTGAGAAGCACAGGGATCAGAGGGACGTAAGTCAAGATGGCTCCTTCTGGGACGATGCTTTCTCCCTGGCTGATGCACGGTCATCTGCGTGCAAGACTATGGGAGCCCAGAAACCCCAGGCCCTGTGCAATCTGAAACCTCAGCTGGGTAACACAAGTGTAACCTAACAAGAGACTGATGTGACATAGCTTCCGGGGGATATCATGCTTGATGAATCTATTCAAGTCTTTAAAGAGGATAGAAACATGAATAAGTTGTATTAAAACTTTCAAAAGGCCTTTGGTATGTTAGACTATGCATTAAGCAGAGCCGTAATGAGCCCAAGGAAGCAGTCCATCTTGGGCTGGGTGAGGGCTTGGTAACCCAAGCTCCCCTCTGATACACACGGGACAATGGTGACTCAGGTAGGGATCAGTGCAGGACTAACTGTATGGAGAATTCCTACCAATGATCTCAGTGAAGAAATCATGTATCCTTAGTCTTGCAAGGACACCAGACTCTTCTGAGTATTGGAAGGCACATCCAGAGTAATAAACCACAAGAAAGTCTTGCAAGTTTGTAACAGACTGTTTCCAAGAGCAGACACCCATCATCTGTATTGAGAGGCATTACCCAGACCCTCTCAAATAGTGGTGGGGTCTGGAATTCATTCGGAAAAATCCGAGTGCCTCCAGCATGCCGCAGACTGTGCTGGGTGCTAGGGACATGATGGACCAGAGCCCCTACTCTCATGTAGCATCTATTCTAGTTGGGGAAGACAGAACATAAACTACTTAAGCATTTCAGAGAGCCATACATGTATTACAAAAGAAACAAAACACACAACATGTAACAAGAATGAGTGTGGCCAGGGAATACTTCTCCACAGACCTAAAGCTGGTATAGTGCTCTGGCCCCAAGGGTCCGCAGTGGAACGTACAATAAGAAACACTGACCATTCCTTTAACAAGCATTTACCAAGGGCCGACTGTGTGTGAACCACAGAGATGTGAATACAAAGAAGAGACCCCTGACTCGAGAAGTTTACTGTTGAGCTGGCGGGACAGAGAAGCCCCCATCCCAAATCCAGTAGGATCTGGCCCCCCATGTGCGGTGGGAGCTATAAGGATAAACTGGGTAGGAGAGCTCACCTGTAGGCAGGGGGTGTTTGAGCTGCCTGAGGGATTAGTGGGGTTTCTAGGTATTGTCCTTAGAAGTTTGCCCTGGGGCTTCTGCCCAGAAGGCAACTCAGTAATGAACCAGAGAAGATTAAGGGGGAAACAGCTAAAGGAATCTGGGGCTTCTTAGGAGAAGAATCCAGATAGGATTCTTTAAAATAAAACAGTGAAGACCAAGAGGAGGTGTGTACATATTTGTACAAACGCTCTTTCATCAAACCCTCAGCCAGGGTCCCATATGCCAGGTCTATGCCAGTCAGAGAGATCAGAGAGAGAGAGAGAGAGAGAAGACACAACCAAAAGTTACAGGGTCCTAAAGCGTCTGATCGAAGGAAAGAGAGATTGTAAGTTCCAGAAGTCTAGAGTTAGGGACTGCCTCTTGCCAGGGAAAAGGAATAAAAGGAATCAGAAAGGAGTTCAGAGCCTAACAGCAGTCAGCCAGTGGAGACTTGATCCCAGAGATGTACAGATCAGCAAACCCAAATCGGGCCCGGGGAGCTTATGTCAAGCCACCGACAGTGGGTCTCCACTGCTTAGGAAAGGTCTCAAGAGACACAGATGTACCCCTAACCTCCCAAGCATGATGGCATGGAAGACAACTTGGCTCTGCCCTAAGTCTTCTCTTGGGACCTGCACAGGAGCTCGGCCACCGAGCTGGGTGACAACAGGAACAGTCCACACGTGGTCCCATGCTCCTTTCCCCAGCTTGCTCGTTCCTCAGAGCCTACTGGGACTCTGACCCCACTCTGCCATCCCAGTGACAGTGAAGGAAGCAGATACTGGAGCTAACAAGGCAAAAGCATTCACCTCCCCACCCCAACGGCCGCCACCACCACCGCCCACTGGCCACCACCACCAGGGAAGTTTGGACAGGGAGAAACAAAACAAGATGGTGAGGACAAAGCCCCAGCCCAGCTTGAAGGATACAGTTACCACAAATGAAGAGGATGATGAAGTAGATGCAGACGATCATCCCCGACGAGGAGGGGCCGCCGTAGGCCATGATGCCGTCATACATCACAGCGTTCCAGTCTTCCCCTGTCAGGATCTAAGAGGCCAAAACCACGGTCAGCCCACACACACGCAGCAGGACCGCAGCTCCCCACGGCCCGCCGGAGCCCCCTGGGGGCCGCCCAAATCGGGTTCTAGCTGCCTTTCACTGTGCTCAACAAATACTTCAGGTAGAATTTTCAAAACGCTGTTTTCAATTACACAAACCAGGAGTTAATGCTTCACGTGAAAATAAAGCAACACTACATATAAGACTTACTTGGTCTCGGATGACGCCCCAGGTCTGCACCCCCACCCCGAGAGCATGCTGTTGACAGATCTCTCTCCAGAACCCCTATGCACGTGAGCACTCAGACACCCTCCCAGAGGAAAGAGGTAGTTGATGTCTTCTCAGACTTATTAAACATAAAGCATATCATACTTTATGAATTTTCTGCATTTGCCTTTTCCCCCCCCACTCAAAATATACTCTAGAGATCCCATGTCAGTAAGTGCGATCAGTCCTTTCAATGGCTGCCTATGATCCCACATGGTTCCTCTACACTGGAAATGGAGAATTAGACACCTGAATTTGTAGAGGCAGGGAATTCCAACTGACCCATGTGAATTTACAAACTGCCCAGCAAGTAGATACTAATAACTCCCTGAAATTTCACATGGAAACTTCTCTACTGATGATATAACTCAGTCTATCCTGGAGGTAGGATCAGGCAAAACTAAACAGCATTTTAAAAAGATACTACCTAAAAAAATAACAGTAATAAGTAAATATAAATAAACCAGACTCTCTTCCAGAGAGAGAAAGTCCATCTGCACCAGACTCTTTAAGAAATAAAACTGTCACGGCTCACAACCCAACAGAAGTATGGGCGAATGATTTCAAAAGATAAAGCAAATTCCCAGGAAAGGAACCTCGTGGCTCTTAGTCACATAAGAAGACATTCGGGTTTACTCCTGATAACAGAAAGAGGCATTAAAGCTACAAGACATCATCTTCGCCTGTCAGACAACCACCCAGCAGTCTGAACACCCACTACTTTGAGGAGCACGCAGGCAACAGTATCAGCGTCAAAATTGGACACATACCCTTCAAAACAGCGATTCCACTTCTGGGAAGTTTACCCCATACACCTACGCTCCCACACGTGCCCATGGTGTGTGTTCAAGGTCACCCACTGAGCTGAGGCCGGACACAATGAAATTCTCTTCGGCTAGGGACTGGCTACGGAATTAGGGGACATCCACACCACAGAATTTATGCAGAATCGAAAAGTAGGAGGCAAACTCATATGGACCATTAAGACAGATTCTTAAGGACACTTGAAATAGTGAGAAGCTGGAAAATGGCAGGTAAAATGAGCTACCATCTACATCATAGTACATTTACTGGGAGGGAGGCTGGTAGGTAAGTTCACTGATTTACACCCATGAGCAAATGTATCTCAAAGAATACATAGAAACTAATCAAGGGTGGTTGCTCCCCAAAGAAGAAATTGGTGACTGGGTGGGAAGGAGACTCATTTGTTACTTTATATCCTTTTGTAAACATCTGAATTTTGTGCCGTACACACAGGTACTACCAAAAACTACCACCACCATACAGGTTTCTTTGAAAGAAAACAGAAAAAATAACTAATCAGTGGCTAAAAATAAGTGTAACCCCCTCCCCCAAAATTATATTTCAAAAAAGTATAGCCTATAAAAGGGAGAGTAATTCTATTCACCTCAAAATGAACAAGTAGAAATGAAACTTACAGATCATTCCTTCTAGTCTCTGGGTTTATTTTTTTTTTCCCTACAAAGGACAGTGACTTCCCAAGGTCACAAAGCTGAGCATGGCTACAGCCAGGAGGGGACCTCGATGTCTGTAATCCCTCCCACCAGGCAGCTTTCTGCCTCCTAGGCAGGACTCCGGGCCTCACAGACCTCATGTGTGAAAAGCAACAAGGGCAGATGGGTCTTTAAAATGTATCTGCCACTCTCTGTTTAAGGAAAGGTTTGAGCTCCCAACATAGGAAGAGGGGGTTTAGAATGCCTCGGCTTAACGCCAGGTGGGGCGTGGAGGCTCATGTCCTGAGTGCGGGGCCATTTATACACCTGCCATCATCCCTCTGTCTCAGCCTCATCACCTGCACAGGCCCCCCTGGCACGGACCCGTTAGAGCCTACCACCCCCCTCCTTCTTACATGGCAGAAGGGAGAAGCAAGGAGGTGGAAAGCTGTCACAACTCTCTTATCACCCTGATTCCTCTGACTACACAAAGCACGAGGGCTTTTAGAATCCACCTCTTTGCACACATCTGTTCGAGCCCAGGATCACAAAACTGTCCTGCAATCAAAAATTCACAAAGAACGGAAAGAGGATCTTAGAGCCTATCTCCCCAAAACCTTGGAAACCTCACAAAATCAGACAGATGTGTTTGGCTTATTATCCTGCCGCGTATCTGGTGGTCTTAAAAAAACATGAAATCACGCCACCTGAATAGCCGGAGTCGGGTGCGTGACAATCCACGTCAGGGGCACAAGAGCTGTCAGAGCATTACTGGGGCAGAGGTCTCTAATCCCAGCAGAATCATCTTGTCTTTTCCCCAGAGGCAAAGGGACAAGGCAACATCTCCCACAGCCTCCTCACGAGGGCTCACCTGGAATACCGTTAGAAGGGCTTGCGGGAAATTGTCAAAGGTGCTCCGCTTGGTTTGTGTTTCGTCGAAATTAAACTTGCCACCAAACAGCTGCATCCCAAGCAAGGAAAAGATGATGATGAAGAGAAAAAGCAGAAGCAGTAGCGAAGCAATGGACTTCATGGAGTTTAACAAGGAGGCCACTAAGTTGCTCAGGGAAGTCCAGTGCCTACAAGTCAAGATGGGGGGGGGGGTTGAGTACACAACGCCCACGGGACACAGCAGACATTGCGGGGCTGGGCTGCCGCTGCTCATCACACCACCCCAGCCGGAAAACACCTGCCACGAGGTACACGCCCTCTCACCTGGTCACCTTGAAAATCCTCAAGAGGCGCACACAGCGAAACACAGAGATCCCCAGGGGAGACATGATTTCCAGCTCCACCAAGATGGTCTCGGTGATCCCACCGCACACCACGAAGCAGTCAAACCGGTTAAAGAGAGAAACGAAATACGCCTGGAGACCCAAGCTATACATTTTCACCAGCATCTCGCAGGTGAACAGAGCCAGGAGGACTTTGTTAGCGATATCTGGAAAGACAGAGGGCCTCCTCATGGGTGTGGCTCAGACCCCCCCGCCCGCGCCAACTTCCCCCCAACCAGTCTCTGCTGGAAACGCCCCAGCGCCTTGCCCCGGTTTTCGCGACGGCCCCCATTAAAGACACTGGGCACCATGTTTATGGTCTGTGAGCTGCTTCTAGTCCCGCTTCTGCTACCACCTAGATGTGGGACTCTGGAGAAGTCCCTTGAGTTCCCTGTGCCCCAGTTTCATGACTATAAAATGGGGGGGGGGGCAGCTGACCACACCATCTCTGAGGCTTTCCAGCCCTACGAGCCTGTGATTCTGCATTTACACCAGCGTATTATATTTTGTGTTTCAGTGGTCCCAGAAAAGCCAGTCTGGTCTTGCTTAGGGCACCATGACATGAGAAGCAGTTGTCCATCAAGGTGGCTTCTAACCACAGAGAACAGCACCCAGCAGGCTGGAGAGCTGGACAGAAATAGAGCCTCCCCATGGATCACAACAGACCAACTCAGAACAGGCTGTCTCTGGGGATGAGCTCCAGTCTGGCACCAGTGGGGAGCAGGGCTTCCGGGTAGAGGGGCAATAACCACTTGCCAAGAATACCATATGGGAAAATACAGCTGCCAGAGGGGACAGGGAGAAGGGACATGAGGTCCCTTCCAACTGCAAGATTCCCTGTCCCTAGGCTGTCATAGGGTTAAGACAAGGAGATGCTCTGGCATCAGCCGGCCCCAGCACACCATGTGGGCTGTGGGCCCCCCCCTCCCCGCAAACTCTGGGTACAGCCTGGATTTGGACGGTTCCTCGGTCTTCCAGTACCCCTGTTAATGTCCCGTCACTACACACAGATCAGCTAAGACAGAACTGCAGCCGGACAGCCTCAGGAAGCCCTAATTTTGAATCAGAACGAAAAGAACACAGCCTCTGCTCGCACCTTGAATCTGCGTCAGCCAGTCGGGCTGGTTGTAGTGCTCAGAGGAAATGGTTAAGGTGTTGAGGAACACCAGGACAATAACCAGCCAGTAAAACGTGACAGACTTCACAGCAGCCCGACATCTTCTGCGATTGAAGCGGTTCCAGCGGCGCCAGCGGCGGCTGCAAAGAAGCAAACGTGACTGTGAACGGCAGATGCGGCCTCTGAATGTCCAACCGACGTCACGGGGACGTTAGCGGTCTTTAACTCTGAGGACCCAGATCAGGGGGATGCAGGAGGGAAAGGTGAGAACACACAGCATAGGAATGATGTTGGTCTTTAAATACAACTTTTAACGTGTAATCTTGACCGGATCGTGCTATCAGTTTCCTACCTACAGCTTTAGACGACTCCATAAGCTGCCATGCACCGTCCTCAAACCAGCTAGAAACATCTAGATATTCACAGATTCGTCGACAGATGCAAAGTGGAGCCTGTACACAGATACACAATTTACATTCCCACCGTACGGTACATGGATCTGTTCAGACTGCGGGTGCGGAGAGCCGTTTGGCTTCTCGTGCACATCTCTTGCGGCATCTCGATCATCATACGGAATCTATCAGGCAGCAAAGTGCTCCAACCCCAGTTTTCCTTTTAGGGAAACTTCTGGTCCTTTCTTAAATCCGGGAGGTTTCTCTGGAGCCTGGCAGACTTGTCAAAGCCGAGTAGGACATGAGTCTTCATTCTGAGTCATCAGGTGCCCTTTCTAACTAGTGATGCTCAAAATATACCTTCAGGAGAAGAGCCAATATTGAATTGTGTTTTCATACAAATAAAATGAGCCGAGCCAGACAGACAAGTACCGTGTCCTCTACTGACTTTCAGTTCCGGTGATGAGGGTAAGTATTCCCCCCGCTTAGCCTGCTCCCCCACCGTGGGAAACGTTCCCTGCCTCAGGATGGATTGGTGAAGTGGGTCCTGGGAAAAGGCCAATCGAGGGGCGATGTCAGCCCTGTGCAGGCTGTGCTCATGGATGGGGGGTGGTGGGCACGTCCTCTAGGGGCCTGAGACAGAGCAATACCCTGGCTGCCTCCTAGCTGCAGCCGTGGCTGACCCAGCTGCGTTGCTACACTGAAAGCACCGTAACCCAGGGACGGGGCAAAGAAAGACTTGGGCCCACTCTTCAACAAGAGAAGGGCACTTTGTTCTTGCTATGTGGTTTCCAGAGGTAACGGGCTGGAAACACGACGACCAGTGTAGAAAAATCCCACCAAGGATGCTGAAGCCCACCCCCGAGGCTGGGTTTCCCCTGGGATGCATACTTCAGTACACACAAGCAAGGTGGTCTGAAAAAGGACTCACGTTGGGTCAATTTATGCTGTCGTGACAAGGCTCCGGTGTCTCCCAAATCCTAGAGGCCCGCTGCCTCAACCCCAGCAGCCCTGCAGCACTCTCCATCCTACCCTTCATGGGGATCCAGATACTGGGTCTATGGAGGTGAAGAAGGTGCACTGTCCCGGGACCTCTTCCCTTGAAAAGCATGCAAGGGTGGGGCAAATAATTACCAATCCCTACTCAGTGCTCCTCTCAGTGTGGGCTGGCTCTAGATAAGAGGGTAAGAGTTCTCCAGGGGGCAGACCGGGGCGGGGGGAGAATCCATCCACAGGAGACTGCATGGCCCAGGGGATTGAGGTGGGAAGAAAGAGAGCTTGGTGAAAACAGACAGCGGTCCAGTATAGCCACAGAGTGGGGAGGGTAGGAGGGGTATCAAAAGATCAGGCCAGTGAGCGAGCCAGGGGCCAAATGATGAAGGAATTTATATGCCATCTGGCAAATAGGGAGTCATGGAAGGGTTTCCGGTTGTTCTTTTTAAATAAGTCAGGTTTGTTGAGATACAATCGACATGTGGTAACTACTAATATTTAGGTACAGGGTTTCTAACCACCACCTCAGTCAAGAGGTCGAATATTTCCATCACTCAAAGGACTTTCCTTTATAAGAGTTAACCCATCCTCACCTCAGCCCCTGACAACTACTGATCTGCTTTTTGTTCCTATCGTTTTGTTTTATCCAGAATGCCCTATAATAGAGCTTTCTGAGACTGGCTCCTTTCACTTAGCAAAAGTACTCTCCAGGCTCATTTGTGCTGTTGCATCTATCAGCAGTTTTCTCCTTATTGCTGCACATCCTTCCACCACATGAATGAACTACAATTTGTCTGCCTCTTCACCATCGGATGGACGCTGGTATTATTTACAGTTTTCAGCAATTGTATACAAAGCAGCTATCAACTCATATAAAAATTTCTCATGCAAGCATATACCTTCATTTTATATGAATACGTCAGAAGTGGGATCGCTGGGTCATGCGATAAACATATGTTTAACTTTCCAAGAAACGGCCAAGTTGTTTTTAAAATGGCCATGCCAGTCACCATGCAGGAATGGGTGGGAATTCCTGCTGATCTGCATCCTTGTCAGAACTCGGTATTGTCATATTTTAAAATTTGACCCATAGGTGTGAAAAACGATCTAAAAGGTATGCAGCGGTGTCTCACTGTGATTTTGATTTACATTTTTCTAGTGACCAATGGTCACTCCATGTACTTCTTTGCCATTCCCTATCTCTTTTTGGTGACATGCCTGTTGAAATCTAATGACCATTTTTAAAATTGTTTTCTTATTACTCACATTGTATTTACATAGTCTTCTTTTTATATAGTGGATACTAGTCCTTTTTATCAAATGTTTTGCAAATTTTTTTTTCTTCTGGTCTGAAGCTTATCGACTCATATGGCCAGTGTTTTGGGTGCTGTATCCAAGAAGAAACCTTTGCCCAGCCCAAGGTCACAAAGACGTTGTAGGTTTTCTTCTAGAACATTTTTAATTTCAGGTTTTATATTTACTTCCACGTCCATTTCAAGGTACTTTTTTTATATAATGATAAAATGTCATTTTTAGTTGAAAAATAACATTTACATGGAAAAGTACACAAATCACAGGTACAGGTTCAATGAGATTTTAGCAACTAAACACGTAACCTGCATCTAGAGCAATGAACAGAATATCACTACCATCTCAGAACACCTCTCGAACCTCCTTCTCTATAGAGGACTTTTAGGCAGAAAAGTGACAAGAAGTATGTTTCTTTGAGAAATGACTCATTGTTGGGGGGGATATGAAAGACTGATTAGTGACAAGAAGTTTTTCATTGTTGTGTCTCATTGGTTTGTTTTGGGGCAAAATCTTTAGCATCTGCTACGTTGCTCTCCAAGGCAGGTCTAAATATTGACTGTACAGACTGCTCTTTGATAGGAATGTCCTTGCCCACAGAGTAAAAATCAAGTCTAAAACAACTCCATGTAGAATAGAGAAGTGAGAAAGTAAAACACCACCACGCAGGCTTAGGGAAAAAATAGAAGATACTGACCTGAGCTTGGATTTTGAGATGGCTTGGCTGTGAGAAAGACAAAATGAAGAGGATTTCTGTTAGGAAGGCTTGAGCAGACTCTCCTGGTCACTTCAGCTGAGAGATCAGAAAAGCCATGCACAGAAGCCTGGGCTCAGCATCCCCAGCTCCCCCAGTGAGCCAGCAGGGGTGAGAGCAGAGCAGGAGAAGAGGCATTGTCAGGGCCAGGCAGGCCAGGCTGACACCGTCCAGGGGTCCAGGGTCAAAGCAAGAGAAGACTCTTAGCCAGCGCCCCTGCGCAGCCCTGTCAGGGGCTCCCCTGACCTCACTTCCCCAGAATGAAGTCAATGGGGCCTCCCCTGCTCGCATCTCAGCCACTCTGCTGCTACAGCAAAAAGAGCACTGGACTAGGAGTCCCAGCTCTGCTGTTCAACAACTGCATGGGTTTGGGCAAGCAGCACACCTGGTTGAGCCTCAGTGTTCTCATCTGTAAAATGAGGAAGACGAACCCATCCCCCCGCCTACTTCACAATGTTGTAGGGAGGGCAGAGCGAGACAACAGAGGCAGATTCACTTCTTAAACAGCTGAGCGCTCTGCCCCAAACACAACATTTTTATTAATCACTGCCAAGATGATCAAACTCTCTTAAAACACCGCCTCTACTTTACAGAGATAAGACCTAAGGGATACCAGCGGGAAGCAAATGAAACCAAACTGCATGGGCTCCCCAAAGCAGGCAGGACTCTGCACATAGAACATCGCTGGTCCCCGCTGGGGACCAGATCATCTAGACAGAAGCCAACAGGGGTAGAGGGGAAGGTGGATGTGGTGGCGCACTCCGCTGTTAGGAGAGGGTGGTGCAGGACGCAGGAAACAAGTGCCGTAAGCAAAGGAGGGCAGCCCTTCCGGGGCCAGCTGCCACACAGGAGGTGGACGGAACCCGCCAGGGAAGGGAAACTGAAATATGCAGCACATTCTGTCAGCCACAGTGCCACACAAGCTCTTCGTCAAAGCACCGATGCCAACACCAGACCGGGAGGAGAATCAGGCCTGTTACCCCCACCGCCGACACCCAGAGGGCCCAGCCTTGGCCGTGCCTCTTCTTTTCCACCAGCACCTAGTGGACACAGTGGAATTGCCGGGTTACCTGGCATGCCCTGCTGCAGGCTCCGCCTCGGAAGGACGGGCTGCTCCAGGGGGAAGAGGCATGTGAAATGCTGGGGGTCTGGAGGCCTGGGAAGGGAGGGGAGGGGGACCAAGGGGTCCAGGGTGAGCCCACCCACCCCTCGTGCGTTGAGGCCTGGCCCGGGATGCCTGCCCCACAGGTGCTCCTCTAAGAAGAGAGGAGGCAACAGGAGGGCAAGTGGCCTCCACACTCACCAGAGACTGCCACAGCCGCCTTGGTTCTCGCCTCCGCCACTTACGTTCTCCGTGTTCACCGACTCCGTCTCGCTGGTGGGCATGCTGGCTGCGGGGAGAAGACAAGGCTTTAACTGGCACGCTGGAGGTGCTGCATGCCCAGGTGTGGGCCTGCTGTGGATCACTGCCTCCAGGCAGGCCCTCTGGGAGCCCAGGAGGAGGGCGAGGAAGAGTGAGAGGCCAGGCACCTCCATGGTGGAGTCTGTTTCCGTGATGTGCCAATCTGCCGAGAAAGCCCCCGGAGCACCCTCCCCTCCCCAACAGGAGGAAGCTCTGTCCATTCCGACTGTCCCTAGGGCAAAGAAGTCTAGGGGCCAAACTGAATCCAGTCACTGTGCCTGGGACCAGCTTACTGTCTTGACTTCCAGGAGAGGACTGAGAGGCCACCAGAACTCAGAGTGACATCTTCGCTGGTCCCAACTGCTTCTCTCTAGAAAATCTGTGACTAGACCAGGACTTGATACATGAATTCTTATCATAAATATACAGAAGGAGAAGAGGCAATGGATGCAGGAGAACATGAAGGTACCACGCACACAATCTTTTTAAAAATTTAAGAACTCTACTCATTATTAGCTAATTGGTCTGCTCAGTTCCCCTGAGCTTCTGAAGACAGTATGCAGAAGGGTCTTTCCACACCGGCCAGAACTAGAGCAAAAAGGAAGTACAGTCTTATGGGTAGAAGGTTTTCTCCCAACCGGTGACCAGCGGGCAAGCCTGACCATGGTCTCAGTGTCACCAGGGTCTCTGGGCATGTCTGACCCCTCTGCAGCCGGACCCTGAGCAGAGGAGGTGCACCGACTATGTTGGGAGGCCCAGAGAACCACCGTCGGGCATGCGGACATTATTTCTCATCCACCTGATTCAACCCTATCAGCATCCTAAGCAGGGGTTGGAGCTGGGTCACGAAGGAGAGGGAGGGCATGAAACATTGCACCTGCGGTGGAAAGCCCACAGATTTCCATGAACTACAAAATGAGCCACCTCGGGGATCCATGCAAGGAGTTCTGGAAACCTGCAGTAAGGAATAATGAATTCTGCCCTGGGGTTCAGCGAGGGGGGTCACTGAAGATAGAAATAGGGGGGAAATCACCCAACTACATGCACTTCTTTGCCTGATGCATCCCTTTGAACTGTAGCAACCATCTTTCTAGAATCTGTGGTATCAACAGGAAGGCCTTCCCCCTGTGCGCTCTGCCGATACAGCTCCTCTTAGCAAGGATGGCTCCACTTCGATCTGCAAAAGCTGGTAGTGGTTCTGTGGTGCCATAGGAGGTCCTGAGGACCCCAGGCACACGGCCCAGAGGAGCTGGGTTCATGACCTCTGTGCTGTGTCTGCAGGTCTGTGGGCCCTGCTCAGGCCAGGGACACTGTGAATGACCAGGATAAAGGTGGGCCTGACCCAGGAGACCCAGAGAGCAGAGAAACAGCTCTTCTTCTTCTTTTTTTTTTTTTTTTAAAGATTTTATTTATTTATTTGACAGAGATCACAAGTAGGCAGAGAGGTAGGCAGAGAGAGAGGAAGGGAAGCAGGCTCCCTGCTGAGCAGAGAGCCCGATGCGGGGCTCGATCCCAGGACCCTGGGATCATGACCTGAGCTGAAGACAGAGGCTTTAACCCACTGAGCCACCCGGGTACCCCAGAAACAGCTCTTCTGAGGGCACCAGAGAGTCCTTTCCCCGCTGTGGGCATCCAAGACACAGCGCCTGCCCAGGTGGGAGTCCACAGCTGTGACCGGAAGCATTTAAGCAAAGGCAGCAAAGGTACAACGAGCAAAACAACAGACCCACATCACACTACTGGTATTCTCTTAGAATAACCTTTCTTCCTCAAGTCAAAACAAACCAACTACAAACTTTGATTCACTTTTTTATGACTCTATGCAAAAAACAAAACAAAAAAACAGACAAAAATAAATAACCTAAAAAACACACACAACCCAACCACAGAAAAATCTTGAACAAAAGCTCCATAAAGATACACACACACACACACACACACACACACACACACACACACAAGCACAAAGCTGCTCAGGCAATCCTTTTCTCCATGACTGACTTGAAAAGATGAAAATGTTATAAAATCCAATGAAGTTCATTGCTATGGGCTCCTCCCATAGGTCACCCTTGTCTTAGATGACAAAGAAAATCACAGTGGGACACTCCTACAGATATGACCGTGAGTCATCTCTGTGGAACAGAAGTTTTTCTTGTCACTTTCTTGTCACTTTCTGTCACTACTAAGGGGACAGAAATTGAGAGCATGTGACCTGGGGCAGGAGTGGGGGTCCGTGGTGTGGGGGGGGAGCAGTTAGCGTTTGACTGGGCTGGGCACAGTCAAACCTCACTGCGGACTATAGTGTCCCACGCGGAGAGCAGCGGTGCTAACTATGCAGTCTCGAGGGCCACTTCTGCCTCTCACCAGTTCTACCACCAATCACCCTACGACTGTATTCTTTCCAAAAGAGCAAACTTCTTCCAAACAGGCTCAGTCTTTGTGGCTTTTCAGCCTCTGCGGCCACGTCCCAGGATAAGAGCAATGCGCCTGCTGCACATGATTCTTAAAGCTTCTTTTCTCCAACCGTCTGATCAAAGCAGATAAATTACACCCTGTCTGGGGGGGGGGGCATTTTGCATTTCTGGCTCCACGCCAGCTATTAGTGACAGAAATGTACTAGCTGGTCCCTGGACATGAGAACCAAGTGGGTAAAAAGATAAGAAATAAAGGCGAACTCCCTAGATAGAAACCAAGAGAGGTTAATGGTGTGGCACAATGTCAGGGCTGCACGGATGGAGAGAAGTTTCCCTGCCCCCTAGGTGGACTCCATCCTTTGGGAGCTAAGAACGGATGCTCAGGTCGGCCAGATCCCAGTTTAACACCCCCACACCCACCCCAGTGGCTGAACTTCTCCAAAACTCCATTTTCTCCTCTGGGGCTATTGGCAGAACTGAGTGAGACAGAACACATGGTGGGTTTTCCCCATAGTCCTGGGTCATTCTGTGTGGGTCCACAGGGTTGGGCATTTGGTGAGGCTCAGATATGAGAGCTGTCACCTCAAGAAAGTTCTCTTGGAGCCTCCTGGACGCAAAGGGACACTCTGGTGCACGGCCCAAACCCAGGGTCCCGTTGCTGTGACCGTGCTTACAGAGAGACCCCTAGTGTGAACAGTCTTCCGCACACCTGAGTCAGCTTTGGCTTCCATTCTTGGTTTGTAACTTTTCTATCTCGAACGAGTCATTTCTGTCTGATGGTGCCTGCTGTAGAGATAGCAACTTTTCGGTCTTAATGGTTAGATATGGAGAGCACCATGGTCCCATAATAAACAACCGATTCCGGAATGACATCAACCAGAGCTGAGGAGGCGGGGAGGGGGAGGAAGAGCACAGTGACTGTGCTAGAATTGGGTGACCTCATTTGGTCCCAGAAATGGACCATGATCCAGTCGCTTCACCCGTGCAGAGGAACCTGGCTCTGATGGGGCCCTGGCAGCCCTTCTCTCTGCTCCAGCCTCTCCCTCCCAGTCACATGGGAGCGTTTCCTTTCCCCATGGTATGGAGACCACACCACAGGCAAAAGGAGCTCATTTGTACATTAGCATTTCACCCTTCCCTCGTACTGGGCATTCATTTTTTTTTTTTTTAAGATTTCATTTATTTATTTGAGAGAGAGACAGTGAGAGAGAGCATGAGCAAGGAGAAGGTCAGAGGGAGAAGACTCCCCATGGAGCTGGGAGCCTGATGTGGGACTCGATTCCGGGACTCCGGGATCATGACCCGAGCCGAAGGCAGTCGTCCAACCAACTGAGCCACCCAGGCGTCTCGCATTCATTATTTTTTAATGCTAAAAAATTGACAAATTCACTTCACTTCGTCCTAATGGGACTTCAGCTGTGTTTTCACTGTCAAGACAGGAGGATCACAGACTATTAGAACTGGAAGAGGCCTCTGAGATCACACGGAGCAGCTCTGCGATTTCACAGATCAGAGACCTGGTCAACTTGCCTTGGGATGCACAGCTCAGGTGTGAGAAAGTTCTCCAGCTTCCCAGCTGGCCGTGCCCCCTGTGCCCGCAGGGTGTGCTCAGATATACTGGGATACGTTTTGGTATCAGTACATGTTGACATGTATATTGGTATGCCCTTAAAAAATCATACTTAATTTACTTACATATGCTGGTACATGTTGGGATATGGTGGTAGATCCTCAGAATGCCACACGTTAAAAGTTCCAAAGCCAATCAAGCCTACTGTCCATCAGCCTGGTTTGCTGTCCTGATGACCTCAGTTAACCCCCAGAAACCTGGTATACAGCCAGACCGGCTCCAGGAGACCACCCCAGCAGAGAAAGAGAGAGAATGAAGGTCAAGTCGCCGTGGTGACTATTGGGACTTTACGAAAATCCACGTAAGTAGGCCCATGGGGAAATTCCTGGAACACATGCCCTTTCCCCAACTGGCTGCCACAGCCTCACGGCTGCCCTGTGTGCAGGGGGAGCACCTTGTCCCCTTCGGGACGGAGTCAACAGTAATTGCTGACAAGCGCTGGGCTGGTTAGGGATGCAGGTGGAGCCCAGCCCCCCACCCCCGCCCCAAGTCCCACCACGCCCTCTAGAGGCAGAAGTAAGCCAAGGGGCCATCTGCAGGCAGAGCAGCTGTAAATCCTTTCCCTCACACATTCCAGGGAACTCGGGGAGCTTTAGAGCAAGTTTTCTTTTTTTTTTTTTTAAGATTATTTATTTATTTATTTGACAGGCAGAAATGACAAGTAGGCAGAGAGGCAGGCAGAGAGGCAGAGAGAGAGAGAGAGAGAGAGAGAGAGAGAGAGGAGGAAGCAGGCTCCCCGCTGAGCAGAGAGCCCGATGCGGGGACTCGATCCCAGGACCCGGGGATCATGACCTGAGCCGAAGGCAGAGGCTTTAAAAATTCAAGTTTTAAAACTATTCCCAGAATCTGGGGTGAAACCAGGTATTAGGGCCAGCCTATACCTAGAATGGGGTGCTGACGTGCACTGCAACCTGCCTGCTGAAAACCTGGGGAAGTGCAGGCCCA